TTGTTTTTTGGGAGGTTTTTGATTACTGTTTCAGTTTCTTTACTTGTGATTGGTCTATTCAGATTCTCTATTTCTTCTTTTTTTTTTGTGAGGAAGATCAGCCCTGAGCTAACATCCATGCCAGTCCTCCTGTTTTTGCTGAGGAATACCGGCCCTGAGCTAACATCTATTGCCAATCCTCCTCCTTTTTTTCCCTTTTTCTCCTCAAAGCCCCAGTAGATAGTTGTATGTCATAGTTGCACATGCTCCTACTTGCTGTGTGTGGGACGCCACCTCAGCATGGCCGGACAAATGGTGCATTGGTGTGCGCTAAGCCGTGGGGCCAGCCCCTCTATTTCTTCTTGATTCGGTTCTGAGAGGTTGTATGATTCTAAGAATTTATCCATTTCTGCTAGGTTAACAAATTTGTTGGCATATAGTTTTTCATAATAATCTCTTATAAGCTTTTGTATTTCTGTGGTGTCCGTTGTAATTTCTGCTCTTTCATTTCTGATTTTATTTATTTGAGCCTTCTCTTTTTTTCTTTGAGTCTGGCTACGGGTTTGTCAATTTTGTTTATCTTCTCAAAGAACCAGCTCTTAGTTTCATTGATCCTTTCTTTTGTTTTTTTTAGTCTCTATTTCATTTATTTCTGCTCTGATTTTTATTATTTCCTTCCTTCTGCTGACTTTGGGCTTTGTTTGTTCTTCTTTTTCTAGTTCTTTTAGGTATAGGGTAAGCTTGTTTATTTAAAATTTGTCTTGTTTGTTGAGGTAGGCCTGTATTGCTATAGATTTCCCTCTTAGTACTGCTTTTGCTGCATCTCGTGTTTTGGTACGTTGTATTTTCATTTTCATTTGTCTCTAGGTATTTTTTTTATTTCTCCTTTGATTTCTTCATTAATCCAGTAGTTGTTCAGTAGCATGTTGTTTAGTGTCTACATATTTGTGACTATCTGAGCTTTTTTCTTGTAGTTGATTTCTAGTTTCATAGCATTGTGGTTGGAAAAGATGCTTGATATGATTTCAATCTTCTTAAATTTATTGAGCCTTGCTTGGTTTCCCAACGTATGGTCTATCTTTGAGAATGTTCCATGTGTGCTTGAGAAAAATATGTATTCTACTGTTTTTGGGTGGAATGTTCTGTATATAGCTGTTAAGTTCATCTGGTCTAGTGTTTCATTTAAGTCCACTAGTTCCTTATTAACTTTCTGTCTGGATGATCTATCCATTGACGTAAGTGAGATGTTAAGTTCCCGTACTATTATTGTATTGCTGTCAATTTCTTTAGGTCTATTAATAGTTGTTTTATATACTTTGATGTTCCTGTGTTAGGTGCATATGTGTTAATAAGTATTATGTCTTCCTATTGGAATGTCCCTTTTATCATCATATGATGCCTATCTTTGTCTCTTGTTATCTTTTTTTACTTTGAAGTCTGTTTTGTCTGGTGTAAGTATAGCTACACCTGCTTTCTTTTGCTTGCCATTTGCTTGGAGTATCATCTTCTATCCCTTCACACTGAGCCTGTGTTTGCCTTTAGAGGTGAGATGTGTTTCCTGGAGGCAGCATATTGTTGGGTATTGTTTTTTAATCCATCCTGCCATTCTGTGTCTTTTTTCTTTCTTTCTTTCTTTTTTGCTGAGGAAGATCAGCCCTGAGCTAACATCTGTGCCCATCTTCCTCTGTTTTGTATATAGGATGCCACCACAGCGTGGCTTGATGAGCGGTGTGTAGGTCTGCGCCCGGGATCTGAACCTGCAAACCTCAGGCTGCCAAAGCAGAGCGCGTGAACTTAACCGCTGTGCCGCTGGGCTGGCCCCTCGACAGTTTTAACACTATATGCCTTGGGGAAGGTCTTTTTGCATTGATGCAATTAGGAGTTTTCTTAGCTTCTTGTACTTGCAGGTGCAGTTCTTTCCTCAGGTTTGGGAAGTTCTCAGCTCTTATTTCTTTGAATTAGCTCTCCACACCTTTTTCTCTCCCTTCTCCTTCTGGGATACCTGTAATCCTTATGTTACTTTGTCTAATTGAGTTGGATGTTTCTTGAAGAATTTCTTCTTTTTTCTTAAATCTAAGTTCCCTCTTCTCCTCCATCTGACTCATTGCTAGGTTTCTATCCGTAAGCTCATTAATTTTTTCCTCCATATGGTCTGCTCTGTTTTTTTTTTTGTTTTTTTTTTTTTTAAAGATTTTATTTATTTATTTTTCCCCCAAAGCCCCAGTACATAGTTGTCTGTCATAGCTGCACATCCTTCTAGTTGCTGTATGTGGGACGCGGCCTCAGCATGGCTGGAGGAGTGGTGCCTCGGTGCGCACCTGGGATCCGAACCCGGGCCGCCGGCAGCGGAGCGCACGCACTCAACCGCCAAGCCACGGGGCCGGCCCAGGTCTGCTCTGTTTTTAATGCTTTCTGCATTAGTTTCCATCTCATTTATTGTGTTTTTAACCTCAGAACTTCTGTTTGTTTTTTTTTTGTTTTTGTTTTTTTTTTGGAGTTTCAGTCTCTTTGGTGAAGTACTCCTGTTCATTTATTTTATTCCTGAGCTCATTGAACTTCTTTCTGAGTTTTCTTTTAACTTGTTGAGTTTCTTTATGACAGCTATTTTGAATTTTGTGTCAGTCAGGTTGTACTCTTCTGTGACTTCAAGTTTGGTTTTTGGAGAGTTGTAATTTTGTAATTACAGTTGTAATTTTGTAATTCTGTTCTGCTGTGGTACTGTAGCTCTTCATGGTATTTGATGACTTGATCCTATGCTGCACATTTGTAGTAGTAACCACCTTTCTTATTTGAGTACAGCTTTGGTTACTTTGGTTGTGATCTTCTTTTGGTTATATTTGAGAGCCTACACTTTCCACTCTCCTCTGCCTCTGCCAGGGTGTCGTCAGTGCCCTCCTCGTGCTGCTTGTGCCTTCCTTTGCTGTAGTCTCAAGTGTTGCCACCGGGGTCACCAGGCTGCAAGCACTTTTTCTGCTTCTGGGGTTATCTGGGTCTTGTGTTCCTCCACTGGCTTTCTGCGGGCTCTGCACGGGCTTGGATGAGGGTGCTAGTTGCACCACTGCCAGGGGTGCTGGGTTCATGGGTGTTGCTGTCGTTGCTGGGGGCCCAGGGACCTGAGGACTTGTATGCAGCCCCTGCTGCTAATGGAGCTGGTATCAGGGATGCCGCCACTGGGGGCTGGGTCACTGGTTCTGCTGTGGTTCCTGAAGCCTCTGGTCACAGGTTCCACCTGCTACCACTAGTGGGGAGTAGGGGCTAAGCAGGGAGAGGTTTTTGTTGTTGCACACTGTGCAGCCACTGGTCTCTGGTGCTAGCTGGTGTGTTTTGAAAATTCAGGTCAGAGCGTCTCACCTCAGCCAAGAAAATCCTAGGTTTGTATACTATTCCCAGTGCTGGAAAGACCTGGCCACTGCCGGGGAATGGGGAGGAGACACGCGTGCTGGATCTGCTGGTAGACAGGCAGGGAGCAATCTGATCCGCCCTCTCCGCTCCTGCCAGGCCTGCCCACTGGCGAGCAGGCTATGTCTTCTGGGAGACAGGCAGGTACCATGCCAGCCCGCCTTCTCTGGTCCTGCCAGCACCACTTTTGGGCACACAGGCTAAGTCTACTGGGACATGGGTAGGGAGCAAACCAGCCTGCTTTCTCCGCCCCTCCAGGACCGCTTGAGCAAGGTGCACCTATTTTCTTGCAGGCATTCAGGCCAGCATGGCGATTTGTGCTCTGGATCGCTGGTGCTGGGCGTGGGGTGGGCTACTCCCCTGGTTCCACTGCCTCCTAGGGGTCCAGTCCTCCCAGCTTCAGCTATGTAGATGCCTGGATGTCTTACGTGTCTTGTTGGGCTGTGCGGGGAATCTTCCACTGGGTAATGGCTGTCTGACTGATTGTAGCTTAGAGGAGAGAAAGAAAGGAAGCAACTTACTCCACCATGATGCCGATGTCACTCTTAGATTTATTTTTATCCATGTGGATGTCCAGTTGTTCCAGCACCGTTTGTTTAAAAACTATCTTTCTCTATCGTATTGTTGCCTTTGCTCCTTTGTCAAAGATCAGCTGATTATATTTATGTAGGTCTATTTCTAGGTTCTTTATTCGGTTCCATTGAATTATGTGGCAATGCTACACTGTCTTGGTTACTGTAGCTTTATATTAAGTCTTGAAGTCAGATAGCACCAGTCCTTCAGCTTTGTTCTTTTCCTTCAATTTTGTGTTAGCTATTCTGGATCTTTTGCTTCTTCCATATAAACTTTAGATTCATTTTGTCGATATCTGCAAAATAACTTTCTGGGATTTTGATTGGGATTGTGTTGAATCTCTGATCAAGTTGGGAAGAACTGACATCTTGACAATATTGAGTCTTGTTATCCATAAACAGGGACTCTCTCTCCATTTATTTAGTTATTTGATTTTGTTGATCAGCATTTTGCTGCATGCAGTTGGTAGCAAGTCATGGAAACCCAACTTCAGCTGACATCCAGAGTAAGGGCTTCTCTGTGCAGGTGGCAACTGGAGGTTGGGAGATGGGTGTCAGGTTGGCTATAATGACTCATCTGAGTTGTCATTGTGCTGCTCTCTGCAGGGCCTCTTCATCCCGGGTCTGGCTCCCCTCTTGTTGGCACAGTGGCTATAGCAGCTCTAGGGTTCCCATTCTCCCCCAGACCATCTGGGAGATGGAACGCCTGTGTCCCAGAAATTCCCATCAGAAGAAACGCCCTTCATATGGAATGGGCTGTCTCTGCACCCGTTCTTGCGGTTTGGCGGATGCGCTACACTGGTTCTTTTGATCTGGGCGGTCCTCATTGGCCAGGACTGGTTGAGACCTGCTCCCATGGTTGCTGTGATGGGATAGTGTGGGCCAGCAGCCATGTCACCTCTGTGGTGACTAGAATTAGGCACGCTGGTTTCTCTGGTGACTCCCACTATCAGAAGGTTCTATCCTCTTCCTTCTGGAGCCTTAACTGCCTGAGACAGAGGTGCTGTCTGGTAGAGATTCTGTGTGACGAGCATGCTTTCTGCTTCTCAGGGTGGTGTGTGTGATCCCTCCAGTGGTGGCCGCGCCCCCCTCCTTGTGGGTGGCGAGGCCACCTTCCCTGTACAGCCACAGGATGCGGATCTTCAGGCACTGCCTGAAAGAGCACACGGCTCCCTACGCCCAGCAGCTGCAGCAGATGACAGCTCTGCGCTCACTGCAGTTTCCGGAGCTGAGATTGGTCCAGTTTGACTCAGGTATGAGAGGAGATCCCATTTGCAATGTTTACCATGTCCAATTCACTTGCTTTGGATTATGAGATACTCTTGATGTTACTCATTTCATAGGAAAGCTGGAAGCCTTAGCTATTTTACTGCAGAAATTGAAATCTGAGGGACGTCGAGTGCTGATTTTATCCCAGATGGTTCTTATGTTAGACATTTTAGAAATGTTCTTGAACTTCCATTATCTCACCTATATAAGAATTGATGAAAATGCCAACAGTGAACAGAGGCAGGTAAGAAAGAAATTGTTTACTTTGTTATTTACAGTTCAGTTGTGTGAACTTTCATCACAAGTTTCTAACCTGGTTTCTCAGAGCTGTGTAAATTCAGTGCTATCATGACCCTTCTGAACAAAGGAAAGAGCTTTTGAATGTCTTTGGACTTTAGTAAGTTTTTAGCTCCATCCTTTGATATGATTTCATAAGTCACTTTATTTGGGAAACACACGGTTGGTTAGATGTCTCAGAATCCGAATTGGTGCCGTATGGTCATGTCAGGACAAGATTGGTGTGCCTCAGGAGGTAGCATGGGGTGAAAATACAAAAACCATCCAGATGAATTTGCAGTAAAGAAATTTCAGTTAAAATAATATGCCCATTTTTTACCTGTCAGATCCTCTAAGGGTATCTTGATTCCCTCAGGCACAATGAGACATGCATTCTCTTACACCGCTGGTGGGGGCACAAATTAATATCACTTTCTAGAAGACAAGTTGACAGTATTGGTTGTGAATCTTAAAAATGGATCTATTTTGACTTGCCTCTGGTAATTCTGTGTCTGGGACTCTCTCCTTCAGCACCACCACCACACCTCTTAAAGATTTATATACAATTGTTCACTGTAGAAATGTGCATAATAACCCCCAGTCAGGAGCGAAGTGACTGTCCAGTAGTAGAAGAATGAGTAGGTAAGTTGTCCGTGTGCTGTAGGCCTGGCAGCATGGTGAACACACACTGTCCCGAGCAGTCCAGGGCGTGGACTAACCAGCCATCATCAACGGTGTTTCAGAACAGCTTTGAGTAGCATTGCAAAACGTTCCCAAGTTCCAAAAGCAAGCTACTTTTTTACCCTCTTGTATTACCCCCTTCCTGTTACACCAGAAGCACACTCAGGGCTTCTCACACACCTGCACACACAAGAGAAGCCCTGCAACAGGCTTTCTTGGTAGCAATGTAACAAAGTGTATAGAGATTTTCTTGAAGGAGAAGGGTTGGTCGACTGTTATGGTCTTTTTTGGCACTGAGATCCTTGCAGAGAGAAGTGTTCAAATGAGGCCCTTTCAGCTCATGGCTTTGAGTGAGATGGAGGAGCCTCTCTTCCTGGGTGGTTTCCTGCTCCCTCAGCCTTACTCCAGGGGCTTTTTGCTGTAAAGTGCCCTGGCATTGCCTGAGGGCACATGAAACAGCACATATCCCTCCCCAGTAAGACTCTGTGTTCTTGTGGGGCCTACAGATTGAGCTGACAGTACATGTCAGATGGAGTCTGACGTTTTCCTTTTTTGTAAGTGATGACTCACGTTATTTAAACAGTGTAGAGATGTTTGTGATCCTTAAGTGAGAGATGACGCAGATGCACAAAACAGCCAGAATAAAATGCCAAAATCTGGTGTAATTTGAACAGGGGCCGCACGTCAAAGGAAACACAAACCAAGTAGTTTTGTTATGGAATAATTTGTGATAAATATCAGAAAGCGTCATAGGTTTCCCAGCATTTACTAAGAATACTAACTGGAGAGTTTTATTTCATCCTAGGAACTGATGAGGAGTTTCAACAGAGACAGGCGGATTTTCTGTGCCATTCTCTCCACTCATAGCCGTGCCACTGGCGTGAGCCTGGTAGAGGCAGACGCGGTGGTGTTCTATGACAATGACCTGAACCCTGTGATGGACGCCAAGGCCCAGGAGTGGTGTGACAGGATCGGGAGGCGCAAGGACGTGCACATATACAGGTGAGGAGTGGGCTGAGTCTGGGGTGGGCCTGCGTGCGAGAAGCTCTGTGCAGGTGTCGGTGCCAGACTCCCTGGGTCAGAAGTGCCGTGTGGATCTGGGATAACACACTGCAGTTGCAGTTCACTTTGGAAGTTTCCACTAAGTTTTGTTTATTTTTCCTTTAGGCAGACTTGTATTCCTGCTGTCTGATTCATCCTTTCTTTATGTGTAACATTTGCTGGAGGCGTAATTTAGTTTGCCTGAGGTGTGACTGAGTTAGGTTGCTTAGACGCACCCTGCTGTCTTTTCAGCGTGTGATTGTTGTCTCTCTTCTGGAGTACCTGAACCTTCAAGGATGATGTATATTTTAGGTTGTTTCAACTATTGTCAAATATGAATTATCTGTTAGTAAATTGGCTGTTGAAAGAATTGAAATCTTAGAACTGGCCAAACGTGTAATTGAGGGAAATGGAGAAGGCTCTACTCTGTGTTTCTAAATTTCTAGAAGTATTTACACTATGGTGTAATAGTAGTAGGTCTGCATTTTTTTGCTTGTTTATTTTGTGCCCAGTGTGCATTGAGCACTTGATGCGCCCCTGTGCTGTGCCCGCCACTTCCCTGAGATGTCAGCGTGAAGTCTCACAGGTGGCAGCTCGTACGGGACTGAATCCCCAGCTTGTGTGACATAGTAATCCTAATGTATTTAAAGAGCTTTATATTATTATTTTTCTGATTATAAATGTATTACTTGTTCATTGGAAAAAAAAGAAGAAAATCACGTAGAGAAGAATAAGTCTCCCATAGGGATGGCAGTCATTCACATTTTGGTGTGTGTCCTTCCAGACATTTAAAAATTTTTTTAGATAGCTCATGTCATCAGTCTTATTTTGTAATCCCTTTTTCTTTTAACAATATATTATGAGTGTATTTCCATGCTAATAAATATAAATTTGGTACATCATTTGTATTGAACAAATAATGTTTCATTGTGTAATTTCTTCCTTGTTGTTGGCCCTTTAGCAGTTACTAGCTAGAAGTGGTAAAATATTTTATTCTCAGTAGCCACAAAATCTGTAAACACTCAGGAATAATCTTAGCAGTAAAGATGCAGGATATATAAGAAGAGTATAAAATTGTGTGAAAGGGTGTTAGATAAGCTGTCACGTGGGGGAGGATATGTTGTGTACTTGGACCGGAAGACCTGGTTCATAAAACTGTAAAGTTTCCCCAAAGCGTTATTAAAATTTAAGTTAATTTCAATGGAAGCCCTGATTATTGGTGTTAGTGTATGTGTGCACGTGCACCTATACACACAGTTGGCTAAAATGGTTTTTAAAGTGTATTTGGGTGAAAGATATGATGGCCAGCAAAAATGATGACAAGGGTTGCAGGGAGAGAGTGGTGCTGGGGTGCCCGAGGACAGACATGTGGCCTTGTCTCAGTGCTGCTGGAATCGGAGCAGATGGACAGTGCAGGGGGAAAACAGCCCAGCCTGGGTGGGAATGTCACCAAGGCAGGATTTCAGTTTAATTGAAACATAGTTTATTTAATAAGTGTTGCTGACACATTGTGTGTCTTCGAGGAAGGGAATGGGGTTGGAGCACTGTTTCCTGCTTTATGACTAGAATACAGTCCCTGTGAATTAAGGAAATAAATGTAAAAATAAAGCAACAATCTTAAAGTGGTATTTAAGAGATAATACCTATAGCCTAGAGCTTGAAGGGATCGCTTTAATCAAACAGAAAACTTGGAAGGAAGGAAAGATAAGACATATTTGAGTATAGTAAAATAAAAAGTTAAGTACAGTCACACGCTGCATAACGACATTTCGCTCAATGGTGGACCGCGTATATGACGGTGGTCCCATGAGATTAGCGCCACACAACGTAGATGTGAAGTAGGCTGTTCTGTCTAGGTTTGTGTAAGTACACTCTATGATGCTTGCACAATGATGAAATTGCCTAACAACGCATTTCTCAGAACATATCCCTGTCGTTAAGTGACACATGACTGTATTGCAAAAAGATTTCCATAAGCAAAGTTAATAGGCAAATAATAAATTGGGAAAATTGTTTGCAATTCTCTTATCAGAGGGTTAAATCGCTCTTATAAGTTGAGAAGAAAGGTAAATGACCCCTTTTTTTAAGAAGGGTGGAGAGGGAACCTAAGAACAGAACAGGCAGTTCTAGGTGAACAAAAACATGTGACAAGATGCCCAAAGGTAGAAAGAAATGCAAGTTGAATGTGCAGTGGCCTTTCTGCTCGAATGCCCCGACAAGTGGGACTGTAAAGGGGCATGTCTGCTGGCAGTGCCCAGTGAGGGAACCTCCGCATTTTACTGGGAACTGAGGGTCGTTTCACTGTTTTGAAAGCAAGGTCCGTTGATATGAAAATTGCATGTGCCCTTTGCCCCCAGCATTACCCTCAAGAGGGTTGATCCTGTGGTGTAAGAGTGGTTACTGCAGCTTGTTCATGTGGCATGAAGCAGGCACCAGTGAACGCCATCTTTAGGGTACAGCCATACCCTGAGTATCGAGCAGCCACTAGAAACATGAGTTCATTTGGGGGATTTCTGAAGGACACTGTTCAGTGAGAAGCAAAGTGCAGATAAGTGTGTAATGAGGCAGCTCTTGCCCAACATCATCAGTGTGATCATGTGAAGGTGCAGGGCGTGTTGTGGAAGTCTGTGTGCCAGGTTGTCAGCACTGAAGAAGACAGCTACTCAAGATGAGTCCGGGAGGCCCAAGTAGGATGTTTCTAGGTGGAGGCTGTGGGATGGGGAGATTGAGGGTGACAGGCAGGAGGACACGGGGCATGGGGGTGTGGGACAGTGTGCAGGGCTTCTGGGGCCTGCCTTCGTGCTGTGTGGGAAGTGGGGGCACAGCTGGGCGGAGATGGGAGCGGGGACAGTGGACCACGGAAGCCTTTGGCTGCCACATGAAGGAAGGAACATACCCAGCAGAGCATTGCATACGACAAGTGCTTTGAAAGCCATACTGCACCCACCTGAGCAGCGAGGGGTGCTGTTCACAGGCCGTCTCTGCCCCGGGTCTTCTTCCAGGTGCCTTAGCTGTCATTTGTGTGTATGTCTCTGTGTTTTGTTTGTAGGCTTGTGAGTGGCAATTCCATTGAAGAGAAATTGTTGAAAAATGGAACCAAAGATTTGATCCGGGAAGTAGCTGCTCAGGGAAATGATTACTCCATGGCGTTCTTAACACAGGTATCCTTCATTTGTGAGTCCTCGGGAGGGTTACCGCACAGGGAGGGCAATTGTGTGGGTTCCATGCAGTCGATGAGGAGTTGTCTGACGGTTTCCCTGGTACCGAGGTCTCGAGCTCAGGGGAATGAAACCGTTTTCTTTGTTGCTGGCGAGTAATATGCATTTTTGTGTTCAGCGGACTATCCAGGAGCTGTTTGAGGTCTATTCTCCCATGGATGATGCTGGCTTTCCAGTAAAAGCTGAGGAGTTTGTTGTCCTTTCTCAGGAACCTTCCATCACAGAAACCATTGCACCCAAGATTGCCAGACCTTTCATAGAGGTAAGAACACGTCCAGCCTGCCCTGAAGAGTTGTTTGATGAGGAGCTGAGCCTGCTTTGAGTCCTGACCTCTTCTGCTCTCGAGTCGTGTGGGCTCCGGGTCCCTGCTGCCCAGGTCAGCAGCCGTGGTGTCTTCATCCGTTCTTCTAGAGCCACGCCTGACCGCCCCCAGCCGTAGCTTGAGGGTCGTCAGTCCTGAGCTGCCACTCGCCTGTCCTGTCCATGACGTTCTGTTTTGTCCCCTCCGGCCCCGCCCACCCCCTGGTCAGCTGCCTCAGCTCCTCCTCTATCTCAGAGCATTGCTAGAGAAGAGCCACACTCTGAATGGGAGCCCCGTGTGTGTGTATAAAAAACACGTCCGATTCTGAGGACAGTACAAAAGAGAACGTAAACTCCCTTGTTAATACCTTTTTATATTGGTTAGGTGTTGAAATGATAATATTTTGGATATATCAGGTTAAATAAAATATTGGTTTTTACCTTTTTAACACAGGTAGTAGAGATTTTAGATTGCACACATGGCTCACATAATACTGCTTTTGGGTGGTGCTGCTGTGTAGACACATCACAAACTCGCTGTTGGGGCCACCTCACTTCCAGTCCTGCCTCTTGGAGGGGCCCTCTGCTGCAGGTGTTGGCCTGTCTTCCTTGCCTCAGGACTACCATCTTCCCCTTGGCCCATCTAGTGGGGAGGTTGTCTCCTCCTTTACCCTCCTTCCTGGGCACTGGTGTCCAGGCTCTTACTCAGAGGGACACTGTGTCCTGGTCCTTTTCCCACATCCTTGCCCACAGTGTGAGGCTGCACTGGCTTCCCCTTCCCAGGCCCTCCCTTCCTCCTCAAGTGGCTGGGGCCCTTGGTGAGGAGGACTTGCCATCTCCTGTTCCATTTTTAAAAAAGTCAACTGGTTGTTGAGAAGTAATAAGTGCATATGGTAAAACCTTAAGGAATTTATAATGAAATGTAAGTCTCCTGCATCAGAGCCTCGCTTCCCTGCTCAGAGACAGCCTCTGTCTGCGGTGTCTCACATTCCTTCCAGGGGTTTCCTGTGTATATTGTCCCTCGCACAGAAATATCTTACAGCTTTTTCTGTATTGGGGAGAATAGATCTACCCTGTTCTTTTAAAAATAGTTGATAATTGCATGAGGTTAAAAAAGAAACTCCAACAACCCAGAAGGATAGTAGTGAAGATAGATTTTCTCCCAGAGATAACCATTTAACCATGGTTAAAATCGTACACGTATCCTGGAAGAAACATGTGAGGCATGAACATGTGTGCACATGCGTGTGTGTGAGAACTGTGAGCGTGTTATACACCCTTGCTGTTTTTCTTAATATATCCTGGAGATGTTTGCACGTTGGCACATAGATATCTACTTTGTTGTCTTCAAAGCAGCATAGTATTTCAGCAGAGAGATTCTTTTGAAATGTATTGGTCGAATGTCTTACAGTGTGTCAGGCACTGTTCTAGGCGGGAGGGATATAGCATTGGAAAAAAACAGAGACACCTCGCCCTTCATGAAGCTTATATTTTAGTAAGGGAAGGGATAACAAAGCAACAAGTGAGTCACATATGTACTGTCCTCGCTGAGTTGGTGTGAAGTGCTGAGAAGCAGACTCTGGGGAGGGAGGGTGATGTCCAGGGAGGAGCATTGTGGGCAGAGGGACAGCACGTTCCAGGCCTGCCTCCGTGTCTGGACAGCATGGGGTCAGTGTGGCCGAGGGGTCTAGGGGGTGAGGGAGGTGAGGCCTGACCATGGACGTGTTCTTTAAAACGATCATCTGGCTCTGTGTTGAGACTACATTGTGGGGGCCAGTTCAGAGGCCAATAGCAGTAACACGGGTGTGCAGCGGTGGCATAGACAGTGGGAGCAGGGACGCTGAGGGATCTTTTGAAGGTGAGTCGATATGCTTTGTTGATGGACGTGGGTGTGAGAGTCAGAGGGCAGCTCCTCCTCTGCTCAGCAGCCCCTCCGGATGGGTGGCGGGGGCACCAGCAGTGCTGCTGTTAGGAGCTGTTCTGCACCAGGCATCCTCTCCTTTTGGCTGACAGGATGCTGGCGTAGCTGTAGGAGTTTCCTGCAGTGACGATGCTCGTCAGAGGGTTTGTGCAAGAAAATGCTTTTAGGTAAAAGTTTTGTTGAAGTATGAGAACAGACAGAAAAGTATATACATTATAAAGCTTCAGCTTGATAGATTTCCACAAGTGGACGCTCCTCCGTAACCAGCCCCCAGGTAAAGGAGGAGAATATTGCCAGCACTGCATCAACCACCTGCCCTGCTCCACCACCGGCTCCCAGTGGTCACCACTCTTCTGACTGACAGCAGGGTTGGCTGTTTCTGAACTTCATGTGAATGGAATCTGTTCCTTTGGATCTGGCTTCTCGTTCTGTGTGGTGATAGCTTGTTCTCATTGCTATATGACGTTCTGCTGTGTGGATTGTCGTGATTTCTTTATCCGATCTGCTGTTGTGGACGTGACAGGATCCTGTTTGAGTCATGCTTCTGTGAACGTGTCTGCACATCTTTTGGTAGACAACACGTGTGCGTTTCTGCTAAGTGTATGCTTTGGAGTGGAGTCCCTAGGTCATCAGGTGAGCATGTTTGACTTTAGCAGATGCTCCAAGACAGTTTTCTGAAGTGACTGTACCAATCTACCCTCCTGTCAGCAGCACAGGAGTGTTGGCATTCGCTGCGCATCATCACCGAGATGTGGAGCGACATTCTTACTGGTGTCCTGGTAGAAATGTGGTAGTATCTCTGGGGTTTAATTTGCATTTTGCTCTTGGCTGATGAATTTGGTTACCTATTCATGTGTTCATGGATGGTGTGAATACTTTTTTTATGAAGTGCCTGCTCATGTCTTTTTCCTATTTTTTTTTTAACTGGGTTTCTTTTTCTTAATGGCTTGTTGGTGTTGTTTATATATTCTGGATGCAAGGTCTTTGTTGGATACATGTGAAATATTTTGTCCCATTCTGTGGTTTGCTTTGTTTAATGCTGTCTTTTGCTGAGCAGAGGTTCTTGGTCCCAGTGCCACCCAGGAGACCATCTATTTTATGGTTGGTGCTTTTGTGTTCTGCTTAAGAGAAGTTCTCACCCTGAGGTTGTCATACGTTAACCTTTATTTTCTTCTAGATGTTTCAGTGTTTGATTCTTCATATTTAGATGTGTAATCGGTCTGAAAATCATCTCTGTATATAGTGTGGGTTAGGAAGATATTTTAAACTTTGTGGATTTTGCCACATTGCCCTAAAAAGAGGTTGTACCAGTTCTTAATTGATATCCACTAACGAAAAACGGTATTATCTTCCCCAGTGTGAGAGTGTGTCTCCACATCCGCCAGCACCTGTCAGGTGTGTGCTCCTGGCTGTTGAGATAGGTACAGTGGTGTCTTCTTTAATTTGCATTTCTTGGACTGTGGTGACACTGACTCTCTCACACGGCTATCATCTGCATCACATCTTCTGTGGGCTTGGTTTTGGCTGCCATGATGTTGGGTGATTCATCCCCTGTTAATGCCATGGACGGTGGCCTGTGTCTCATGCACCACAAAGAATTGTTGTTGTTAGTCAGAACTGTGGCCGAGTGGTGGGTATCGGATGTGAGATTGACTGGAGACAAGACTGTCTTGCTCTGTTCTCCGAGTCTGGGAGCTTTGCTCTGCGTGTCAGTGTACTTGCCTGCGGCTCTTCCCTGGGTCTTGCCTGTCCAACGTGGTAGTGAGTTTCTTATGTTCTTTTTCTATAGCCCCTCAGCATCTGAGGGAATCTCGAGGAATGAACACTTTATCTTAGGGAGGCTCAGTGTACGATGTAGGCATCTAGTTAGCTTTATGTAGCGTGGCTTTTTTTTAAAAAACCCTTAATTTGAAACTTAATAATATATCATAATAATCTAAATATGTAAAATCTTTAGGCCCTCAAGAGTATTGAGTATCTGGAGGAGGATGCGCAGAAACCCGTGGAGGAAGCAGTGCCTGGGTCACCAGACTCCGACGGCTCACGGCGGAGCGAAGAGCCGTCGCAGCTGGAGGAGTTTGCTGACTTCATGGAACAGGTGGGGCATTTTCTCTTTTGTGCTTCAACTGAATTTTTTTCTTTCCACCTAAATATTGTAAACATCTGACCCTTTTATGAAGTATTTCTTGCTCACTTTGACCAAGAACAATCACTTTTCTGATTCAGATATGGGTAGGGGGTTGTATAAGGAACTTAACCCTTATTAACTTGCTTGTAACTGTATTCAAAAAATATATTTTTGAAACAGCTCACACCAATTGAAAAATATGCTTTGAATTACCTGGAATTATTCCATACTTCTATTGATCAAGAAAAAGAGAGAAATAGTGAGGTAAGAGAATGAACTTTTGATCATCTGAACGTGTGAGAATGTCAAATGCTTCAGTGTTAAATTTGAAGTAAATGTGACTTGCTTAGGATTAACAGAAAAACCAAAACCCACCAGTATAGGAGCTAATTGAAAATGAAAAGTCTTGGAAAACCTTGTGTAGGAAATTTTTATTTTTTGAAGCAGCTTGGTGCTCGATAGAGAGTTATATGTGGGGAACAAAAGAGGAGTCTGGAAACTGCGTAACCGTAGATAGGAGGGGGACTCCTTGTGACAGAGAACAGAGATTTCTTCATCTGAGTTTGACCATCAGGGCGTGAGGGGGAGGCAGGAGGGGACAGAAACAAGTAGGAGTTTCCAGAGTGTGGGGACGGTGTTGGGAACTGCTGTGATGAGTTTGAGAGCCCCTGTCCTGTGATCCTCCCGTCAGGATGCTGTGCTCACTGCTGTGAGGGCCTGGGAGGCCCAGAACGTGAGGGCCCTACGGGAGAGGGAGGCCAGGGCGCTGCGGGAGCAGGAGCAGGAGCAGCTTCTCACCTATACGCGGGAGGATGCCTACAGCGCGGTACGTGTGGCTCGCGTCCAGCGGCCAGAATCTGGGGCCTTTCTGGGAGAAGGAACCCTAGTCATTTGTACTCCTGATGTCAACTCAAGTTCTAAAAGGACCATTTTATGGTAATTGACACTTGGTTAGAGATTTTCGGTTACATATTGGCTTTTCCCTGAATGGTGTTGCCAGCTGTGATTAAAATGCGTTATAAGTCTTATAAAGAGTGATGTCCATCATACTTATTTTGAAGACTTAGTAAGTATGAAGGTAAATAATTGATGGCTTACAGCATGAAACTAAAACTGTGTCAAATTGAAAAACTTCCCTTTTCCCACAGGAATATGTCTGTGAAGGTGCCGATGGGCAGACGGAAGTCATGCCGGTGAGTGCCTGTCTCCCTCTGTTGGGTTAGCTGCCTTCTGTGAGTCCCTCAGCTCACAGGCTCTCCCTTCTCCCCGCAGCTCTGGACCCCGCCCACGCCCCCGCAGGATGACAACGACATCTACATCGACTCAGTCATGTGTCTCATGTACGAAACCACGCCCATCCCAGAGTCTAAGCTGCCTCCCGTGTACGTGAGGAAGGAGCGTAGGCGACACAAGACAGACCCCTCAGGTGTGCACCCTGTCCCATGGCCACGCTCACGTGTTCTGTTGCTTTGTTTTTGTGAGCAGTGAGGAACCTTTGTGTTTACAGCCCTAATTAGTAGTAAGAGCCAGAGAGTGGGTTTGTCTTCACCAAATGCTTACCAGGGCTCCTTGGTGACAGCCTCCGAAGTTGCCCCTCTGGTTCCCTTTCCTTCTCTTGCTGACTGTCTTGCTGAAGACAGCCTCTCTGCTCAGCTGCAGGCAGGAAGAAGAAGCAGCGTCACGGGGAGGTGGTCGTTCCTCCTCGGTCGCTGTTTGACCGAGCAACACCAGGCATGTTGAAGATTCGACGAGAAGGGAAGGAGCAGAAGAAGAATATTCTTTTGAAGCAGCAAACGCAGTTTGCCAAGCCTTTGCCAACTTTTGCCAAACCAACAGCCGAGTCGGGTCCAGACAACCCCGAGTGGCTCATCAGTGAAGACTGGGCGCTGCTGCAGGTGAGCACGTGCTGTGTCCTGCTGGTGTGAGCACTGATTCAGTGGGGTCACCCCCTCCTCCCCTCTTACGTGTCCACATCATGATCACTTTGGAAAGTGGGAAAGCCTATGAATGCACAGCTTACTGACCTGTTGTACCTGAAACTTGGTCTTCTAGGCCGTGAAGCAGCTACTCGAGCTGCCTCTGAACCTCACGATTGTGTCCCCGGCTCACACACCTAACTGGGACCTCGTCAGTGATGTCGTCAACTCCTGCAGTCGGATCTACCGCTCTTCCAAACAGTGCCGGAACCGCTATGAGAACGTGCTCATTCCGAGAGAGGAAGGGAAGGTGAGAGCAGACTGCCTCCTTCCACGGCGTGCAGTGCTGGTGGAAGTCCTCGTGGGTCCAGGGGAAGATCAGCTCACAGGGTTGTTGAGGGTTCAGTGAGGTGAAGGACCTGCACTGTGCCTGGCGCGAGACTCGAGGTGCGGCGGGCATGGTCACCATTAGTGCAGGCAGTAGTCCCAGTGCCTGAGGTTTCAGCTGATATGGGGCGTCCATGCTCCTTTGTCAATTGGAAAGTCCTGTGTGCTCTCTGGCGGCTCTGGACACCATCCAAGGGTGTGGTCCTATTTTCATTTCCTTTCTACCTTCCTTTCTTTTTTTAAGAAAGAGTTGGGTGAATAGGAGAAAAGAGCATTTGCTTCATGCTAATTATGTTAGCTTATTTGAAGTCAAGTCTGTTAGCACCTCCTCCACTGTGTGCACTGTGCTTTCACTGGGCAACTCGGCTGCGGCAGTGCTTTGACGGACAGTAGACACTGGTCCCAGCCAACTCTGAGCACTGCAGATGCTCACTGACTACAGAGCAGCCGAGTGATTGGTATCTGTCATCAAGAAGCCAGCTGTGTTGGGTGGCCCGACCCTGAAGAGTCAGCACTGTCGATAAGCAGGTCTCCATTCAAGGGCCTTTTCTCGTCCCTCTGGAGCCAGATTTGTCTCTTCCCGGGTCTTCCTCCACTCTCCTCATCAGCTCCCCCTTCTTGTTGCTTGCCTTCCTCTCCCCAGGAGTAGGTCCCAGGCCTCTGTACAGAAAGCGTCTGCGTGCTGCGTCATGCCAGCATTTGCGAGTGTCCTCGCCCGTTGGTGACCGTTGCTTCCAGTGGTAGATGTCCTGTCACATCTGCTGCACATGACGGACGGGGCCAGTGCAGAGGCACCCCTCCCCTGCTTTGATGGAATTTGCTGTTGTGCTTCTAATTTGGGAAAGTTACTTTTATGACCACTCTTTGAAGCATCTCAGTTTTCATTTTTCTAAAAACAGTTGTCTCAGAATAAGGCATTTATTTGCTTTTTTGTTTAAAAACAAAAAGGAGCAAGCTTTCTTTAGAACCCCGTTTTGTGTGCCTTCACCAGCAAGACTTGCCCAAGTCTTGTGTTGGGTCTGTTATGTTTTGGAAGCATTTCTAACAATCGCCATAACCTTCATATGAAAAAATGTAAAGCTAAAATTTTATCTTCTGTTATAGCTCACGTATAAAGCTAAAGAAAAAGGCAAGAAATATTTATAAGGTATGAGGGTGCTGTTCTGAATAAATTGGAAAACCTTATTTAAGCACCTGTACAGGGGAGCATATGATGAGATTCAGAATTAACCTGTATTTTAGTAATCAACAGAAATGTGAAATCCAGAATGTTCTTAAGTGCCTCTCCTATGAGGAGAGGATTTGCTTCTTTGCATTAGAGGGCCACGCCCCCGTGGGGATGTCCTGAGGCTCCAGCCTTCTCACACCCCATTGAAGCCTGTGATGGTGGCAGTGGTCAGAGGTGCCTGTAAACGGGAGACACGTGAGGCCCCTTTCCACCCCCTCACGGCCCCCTCACTGCCCCTCATGGCCTGCTGGCTCCCCAGCATCAAGTGGAGCAGTTCTCACTCAGACAAGACCGAAACAGGAGTTCTTTTACGTGCAAATAGTCTGCCTGCCTTCACATTGTCACTGTCTGGTATTGGGTGTCACATACCTGATCTTGTTCTCACTCTCTCTTTCTCCCTGTTTTCCTAATTAACTGATTATGACATGGGAACGCTTGCATTTACAGTCCAGCATGCAGGAAGTGGCACAGCGTAGCCTCACATGTTGGTTTTCTAGTTCTCATTTTCCTCGCACGTTGCACACTTTGAATTAAGGCTTTTTTTGTTTGTTTGGTAAGGAAGATTCATCCTGAGCTAACATCTGTTGCCAATGTTCCTCTTTTTGCTTGAGGAAGATTGTCCCTAAGCTAACATCTGTGTCAGTCTTCCTCTGTTTTGTATGTGGGATGCCGCCACAGCATGGCTTGATGGGAGGTGGTGTTGGTCCATGCCTGGGATCCAAACCCACGAATCCCGGGCTGCCCAAGTGGGACACACAAACTTAACCACTTATGCCACTGGGCCGGCCACTGAATTAAAGCATTCTGTGCTGAATTAAAGCACAGACAACACATGTGTGGTGCATGTACACGCACACCCCCTCCCACACGTGTGCCTCTTACTCTGTTTGTCTAGGAGTCTTGGTTTCTATCCTGCACACTGGATTTGACTCCCAGTTATGGGAATGATCAGAGCTTAGAGATACAGAGGAGAGTCCTGGGCGAAGACTGAGGAGCTCTGTGGCCTGGCCTTCACTTGTCACTAGTTAGCCTTCTGGCCTTGCACATGCTGTGTCACAGGACTGGAATTTTCTCCATGGCACAAAGGGTTTCTCTGAAGTTCTGCGGGATGCTATGATGTCTTGGGAGCAAGCAGGTGCTTGGTTTAGCCGTAGGATGTATGAAGGAGAGATTGATTACCAGGCACAAATAATGCTAAAGCCCCCAGCCCCCAAGGATAGACACAGATGTCATCACACGTCTGTCCCCTGCACCGTCGTCTGTGGGCAGAGGTCTGCAGGGAGGGCAGCTGCCTCTTGGTTCACGTGGGGGTTGGATCACCGATGAAGGTGTGCTGGCTCTGCCTCACTTGCTGTGTGACCTTGGGCACTTTGCCTGAGTGTTCTCTGTCCCCCGCTGAAGGTGGGGAGTTCTCACTCTCTGGGTAATTTCGAGGCTCGCACGAGGTAACGTGCAGAAAGGCCTAGCACAGGTTGAGGAATAGTGTTAGTTGGTGGACGATGGGTGCTGGTGTCCCTGCTGTTACATCTGTGTGGAGTCTCAGAAGAAGGGGTGGGAAAAAGGAACTTTGTTTAATCATGGGGTGGTTAACGTTAGGCCTCCGAATCAGTGAAGCCTGTTTTTGGGGTCACCGTCTGATGAGCTGTGGTCAATCTTGTTTCAGAGTAAGAACAACCGCCCTCTGCGCACAGGGCAGATGTACGCCCAGGATGAAAATGCCACGCACACCCAGCTGTACACCAGCCACTTCGACCTCATGAAGATGACTGCTGGGAAGAGGAGCCCCCCCATCAAACCTCTGTATGCTTCCCGATCCCTTAGTTCCGTTAGTTTGTGACCGAGTCAGTGGTGGGAAGCTTGATTTTTATCATTGGTCGTTACTTTTCTTTCTTCAGTATGTTTTCTTATGTTTAGTAATTGCTGTCTCCTTTTCTGTGCTGCAGGCTTGGCATGAATCCCTTTCAGAAAAACCCCAAGCATGCCTCCGTGTTGGCAGAAAGGTATTTCTGTATTTGTGACATGGGTTTCACTATTTGAAATGATTTATTTTAGTGTTCTCTTAACCCAGTAAGTTTAGTGAATTATCGTGCAAATGGTGTGATCAGGCATCAGCTGGGGATGGTGAAGTGGCCTGAGCGGCCGAGCCTGGAGCGCGGCCTCCTGTGTGGGGCCGGCCCAGCACGGGCTCACATCCAGTGAGTGTTCACGTGTTCTTCGTTTACATAGCGAGAGTCCCTCCCTGCCTGAGGTCTGGTGGGGGACATGCTGACAGACGTGCTGGGGGCTGCGGAGAGGCGGAGGGGCTTCCTCCTTTCTTCGTCATGCCCCACCTCTCATCTGGCAAATGTTGTTGGCTCCACCTTAAAAATGTACCCAGTTTGGGGTGAGTGTACTTGCTTTGAATTTCTGCAAAGGAAAAGAACTGAATCAATGGATAGGTAGAGGTGAGTAGGTGTGAGAAAGCAAGTAGAGTCAGAGGGAATTGTGGATTCGAGTGCTGGGGACACTGCATTTGCTGCAAGGTCCCTGCAGCTTTCTGTATGTTTGACCCTTTGTAATAAAACATTGGGAATATATATGTTCATGAAACCCAGTTCCCCCTCTGTTCAAGCCTTCGTTGTCACCCAAGTGAGGTTTTGCAGGCACCACCTGATGCCCTGCTGTCTCGTGGTCTCTGTGCTCTGCTCTCCACACAACCCCGGGCGTCCTTGTCAGCGGGAAGTGGCCCAGGCCTGCGCTGCCTGCTGCCCCGTGTGCCTGGCCTCCCTCCACAGGATACTCTTTGGGCGTGCCTGCAGCCCCTGCCTCACAGCTTGGCCTTGCTGGTCACCGTGGGCAGGTCTCCCCAGGCGTCTGTGCGGCTTGTGCCCCTCCTCCACGCCCTCTCGCACACGCCACCTCTTGACCTTGTTGAAATTGCACCCTGGCCCCTCTCTGTTTTTCTTCGTGGTGGGGATCATCTTTGCATTTTTACTTGACTTGTTTCGCATCTGTCTGAGCTCTGTGGATGTAGGAATTCTAGAGCCTAGAGGCACAGAGCAGACGTTCAGTATGGCGTTTGTTGATTAAATTAATGAATTATTTCATTCAGCTGGTGTTTATTGATGACCTGCATGCCTTACACTCTGCTGGGGGCTCAGCGGTGAACAAGCTAGGCACAGTCCTGCCCTCCTTTTTATCTTATGCAAGAGACAAAAACTGAGTAATTCTCACAGAGGATGAGGATTCATTCTAGAGGTGAATAGAACTTAGCCTGGCAGAGCTGATGTCAGGTGGGTTCCAGGCTTGCTGGGGCCTTCAGCGAAGGGGCTTGGCTGGGCTGGCTTGGCTGGGGTGGAGAAGACTAGGGGGGATTGTTCCTCTCCGAGTGAGGCGACAGATCGACATCAGGCATCTGTAGGGGCTGTCAGTGTGGTAGCCGTGGGTGAGAAGTTCGTGGAGCTGAGGGAGGGGGATTAGAAGACAGGTCTGCAGCATGGGGAGGAGGGAGATCCAGGGGTGGCACCACCAAGGTGAGGGGAGCAGGCAAGCAGAGAGGCCTTGGCCTCCATTTCGGATGTGCCGCTGCCATAGCGGATATCAGGAGCATCAGTGCGGAGGTGACTGAGGGTCTCAGTGGAAGCGTGTTTGGTGTGAAGCCCAATTGGATTAAGTTGGAGAGAGGCTGCAAAGTGAGTAAAGATCTGGAGGGGCGTCTCTGTGCCTCAGTTTTGTTTTTGTGCGTTTGGTTCAGGTCGGAGACATGGATCCTGTTTAAATGCTGGTGGACAGGACAAGGAGGTAGAAGGATGGGGGTGAGAGGAGAGCCCAGGATGGACAGCAGAGGCTGGTCTGCAGCCTGGGTCAGGGCTCAGCTTTCTGTAGTCCAGGTGTGCTACAGGAGAGTCTTGACATGACAGCCAAAGGTGGAGGGCATTGGAGGCTGTGTGCTGAGGGAGGGAGCAGGAGGGAACTCCTCGTGGAGCAGGAGTCTCCAGGGTGGCTGGGTTGTGGTGCCTTAGGGTGCGCAGAATGGATTTTTCCCTCCAGCAGTGGAGGCACTTGGGCCTGGCCTGGAGCGGGCTGGTGGGAGGAGTCTGCTGTGGTTGTGCCTCACCACTGTGTGTGGTGGAGAGACAAGGGGGTGAGAGAAGGCCCTGATGTTATCTCGAGGGCGGCAGGGAGGTGGGCAGTGCTCACGTGGAGGGCTGAGTGGACTGACGTGGGTGAGGTCAGAGAACAGGCAAGAAGGTACTGACTTAGCGAGCTGGGAGGAACGTGACGTGGGAGGGTCGACGTCCAGGGCCGCCAGATGGTGTGGCACGTGGTCTGGGTGTGTGGTGGGGGTCCTGATGTTGGGAGGAAGTGCATAAGGTTTTAAGCAAAGCCAACCTCTCTGTGACCGGAGGAATCAAGAAGTCTGTAGGTGACAATGATGGGGAGGACATGGGAGCCTCTGGGACCAGGAGTTCCATGAAATGGCGGAGAGACCTGTGGGGACCTGGGCTGTGGGGGACCCACCCTGTGGGGGTTTGCTGGCCAGGCTCTGTGCTTGGGGACCCAACGCCATGGAAGGCTGGGAGTGTTTGTGTTGCCTGGGTCCTGGAACATCAGTTCTCAGGGACACAGAGGCATCTAGTAGGCTGGCGTGGGGCCTGGGGTCATGGGGTGGGGGAGGGGCAGGTGACCGACTGACTGCTGCTGAAGGCTCCTTGGAGGAGGGTTGATGCTCAGCTGGGGAGGGAAGGGAGGCCCGGCTTTGAGCAGGTGGGCAGTTTGGTGGACTGAGTGGACGGGCGGTGTTTCAACATCAAGTGCTGAATAGCTTTCTTGCCCACACACATTTCAGGGCACCTGATGTCCCGGACACTGTACTGAGTGCTGCTGCAGTGGACCAGGCCCAGGCCTGCCTTCTGGAAGACTCTCTGTTGGAAGGGAATGGGACACGTGGTCTTGGGTGGCCATGGCAGCCTTTCTCCTTTCCCAGGCTGATCCGCTTTGGGGCTTGGCTGGAGCTGCCTCCTGGCACCTGGCAGCTTGGGAAATGAGAACTTGGGATTTCTAGCATATTTGTCTACTTTAGGACTTGCTGGTTTATTTTTAATTTTTGCTTTTGTCTTCCAGTGGAATCAACTACGATAAACCACTGCCTCCTATTCAGGTTGCATCTCTCCGTGCAGAGCGAATTGCCAAAGAGAAAAAGGTGTGGGAGCCTGGGCCGGGCCTGTTGCTCCAGTGGGAGGGCGGAGCCAGGAATGGTTGACAGACAGGTGAGGGGCTGCAGGCCCTGGCTCCTCCCCACGGCTCCTTTCCTTCCCCACCCTCTAGGCTCTGGCGGATCAGCAGAAGGCTCAGCAGCCGCAGGTGGCACAGCCCCCACCACCGCCACCACCGCCGCAGCCACAGCCGCAGCCTCCGCCGCCCCAGCAACCGCCTCCACCTCTGCCCCAGCCCCAGGCGGCGGGCAGCCAGCAGCCAACGGGGCCACCAGCCGTCCAGCCCCAGGCCCCTGTGCAGCCCCAGGCACAGCCCGCGCAGCCCCCACCCAAGGTGCCGCCTGTGATCACGACGGTGGGCAATGCCGCCGTGCTGGTGAGAAGACGCCCCTCCCTGGCACGGGCGCCTGTGATGACTCACATTTGGCGAGGAACTGTCTGTTCAAACGAACCCTTGTTGAAGTTCTGCACTTTCCAGCCTGCAAACCTTCCTCTCGGAGGGCGCAGTGAAGGCCCAGCCTTTCCCTAGAGGGCGTTTGTGTCTAGAGGGAGCGTGTCTGGGGGGTCCTGGTCTAGAGGGGGCGTGTGTGTTCCCTGTGCTCTGCCAGCTTCATCCTCCAGGGCTCTTGTGGGCTGGCATAGCTCAGCAGGATGGGGGAGGTGCTGGGAAGTCTGGAATTAGACAGGGTTTTGTGAACCGTGACTGTGAAGAAGTCGCCTGCTTGCTCTCCACAAACTTGTGGAGCAGGCACTGTCTGTGCTCGTCTGCAAACTAACCTTCCCCTGACCCCACCCTGCTGTCCCTCAGAGCACGTGCACACGGGCTCACACACGCGCATAAATCTTCCGTACCCATTAGAGAAAAGTGGCACAAAAAGGAAGGAAAGGCAGACTGCGATCTCATGCCCCCTGTGCCGTCGCCTCATGCCCTGGTGTGTTCTTTCGTTATGTGTGACTGTGGGACACAGACACTGAGATCCCACATGGAGAGAACGCCAGGGACTGGATGGGCCGGCGCTGCTGCTTTGCACGTCAGCTGGGCATGGGAATAGCCTTGTTATGCAGAATCACTTCCTCCCTTTGCTTCTAATTATATTTGCTGTGGTGGGATTTTTCTACGCGCCTGAGCAGCTTTATTCTTCATTCATTCAGAAAATGTACTCACTAAGCACCTACTTGGTGTGAGGGCTGCCCCCTGCTCCCGTGGAGCCACGTCCCACTGGGGCAGGCAGCCCAGCCGTGCAAGACCCCAGGGAGGACAGTGTTGGGTGGTCGGGAGGAGACTTTCTGTGGAGCTGGCTCCTGGGCTGCACCTGGAGTGACAGGAGTCAGTCAGAAAAGAGAAAATCAGCAAGTGCATAGGCCGTGAGCTTGGCACATGTGGGATCAGAAGGGTCAGCATGGCCAGAGCCCGGTGACTGAGGGATGGACGCAGCTGTGTGGGAGGAGGTGGGGAGGGAGGGGCTGGAGTTGGCCCGTGTGGTGTGTAACCGTGCTCAGGAGTTTGGATTTGATTCTAATGAAATGGAAGCCATTGGAGGGTTTACCCAGGGGAGATCTTGACCTGAAATTCAAATTGTTTTCTTTCTTCAGCAGGCAGGAGCCATTAAAACGTCCGTTGCAGGGACAAGCATGCCAACGGGTAAGAAGTCAGAGATGCTGCGATAAAAAGTCATTTCTTCCCATCCTCCTCTTGTCTCACAGACCTCTCCCTCTACAGGCGCAGTGAGTGGGAATGTGATAGTGAACACCATCGCGGGCGTCCCTGCTGCCACCTTCCAGTCGATTAACAAGCGCCTTGCTTCACCCGCAGCGCCTGGAGCCTTGACTGTGAGTTGTCCCTGCTCCTGGGCGCTTTTGGTGGCAAGCGTGACCCTAGGACTTTGCAGTAGTTGTTTGCTTTATAAAAAAATATTCTATCGGTACAACAAGTGCTGATTTAGTTTGAATTTCATAAAACAATGTGAACAGTCAGGTGTTCAAGGGTTGGCTTCCACTTTGGGGTTTTCTGAGGAAATGTGTGTTGAAACCCCCAGCAATTTCAGAGAGGAAGAAGCTGGGTGTGAAGGCTCGTCACTGACTCCGCTGACGGGGTGCCCCACGTGCGGTGGTGACAGATTTGCCTGTGTGGGGGGACGTGGGGACACAGAGATGGCTGCTCTTGGGGGGATTGCCCTGGGGGAGGAGGCGCAGCATCTCACAGGGGCGGGATGTGCTGTCACGTGCGTTGCTGGCGTGTGGAAGGGCCAAACAGGGCACGGGAGGCAGGTGGTCAGTTTCTGGGGTGTCGTGAGCCAGATGTGGGAAACAGGTAGGGGCCACACCTAAGCAGAGGGAAAGCCTCAGAGCCACAAGGCCCCCTGAGTGCCTAACCAAAAGGAGATGGGGCACTAACCAGAAGGAGACTGGGGTGCTCATCAAAACACACCCCACGTCAAGCCATCTGCTTGTCTTTGTGTTTCACCATAAAAAACAAATAAACAACTGAGATTAAGGAGTTTAAATTTATATTCTGCTTTCCAGTTTGGTCACAGACCCAAAAGCAACAGATGCCCAGAATGAGAAAAAGCTGCTTCAGAGTTAGCAGTGCTTTGGCAAGTAGAACGATGTCCTTCTTCGGTGTGGAAAAGCACCTTTTCTACAAAGATGTTGCTGTGGTAATCTAGACGGTGTGGTCTTGGCAAAGAATAGACGCATAGACCCGTGGAGTAGGATGGAGAGTCCAGAAATAGACCCAAACAGACGTCATCAGTGGATTGTCATTAAGAGTGCTGGGGGACTTCAATGGAGAAAGGATGGTCTTTTCAACACACGGTGCTGGAAAGAATTGGGTGGCCATGTGCACAGCAATGTCTGTGACCCATAGCTTACACTGTATAAAGTCATACGAAACAGATCATAGACCTAAATGTAAAACCCAAAACTATAAAACTTCTAAAAGAACATACGAGAACATCTTTGCTACCTTGGTTTAGGAAAAGATTTCTTAGGATACCAAAGCCTGTGAATTATGAAAGAAAAATTAATAAATTAGACTTCATCAAAATCAAGAACTTCTGCTCTTTGAAAAATATTAAGAAAATGAAAAGGAAAGCATGAAAAATATTTGCAGGGTGCTGGCGCTGTGGCATAGCGGTTAAGTGCGCATGCTGCGCTGCTGGAGCCCCAGGTTCAGATCCCGGCTGTGCACTGATGCACCCCGTCAGGCCATGCTGTGGCGGCATCCCATATAAAGTGGAGAAAGGTGGGCACGGATGTTAGCCCAAGTGCAGTCTTCCTCAGCAAAAAGAGGAGGATTGGCACAGATGTTAGCTCAGAGCTGATCTTCCTCACCAAAAAAAAAACGAAAAAAAAAAAACATTTGTAGAACGTATCTGATAAAGGACTGGTACTCAGATCATATAAAGATTGTTCCATCAGTCATAGGAAAACAAACAACTTTAAAAAAATGGACAGGGGCCGGCCCCGTGGCTTAGCAGTTAAGTGCGCGCGCTCTGCTGCTGGCGGCCTGGGTTCGGATCCCGGGCGCGCACCGACGCACCGCTTGTCCAGCCATGCTGAGGCCGCGTCTCACATACAGCAACTAGAAGGATGTGCAGCTATGACATACAACTGTCTACTGGGGCTTTGGGGAGAAAAAAATAAATAAATAAAATTATTAAAAAATTAATTAATTAATTAAAAAATGGACAAAAGATTTGAGCATTTACCAGAGAATATAAATGGATAGTAAATAAATGTGAAAAGGTGTTCAGTGTTAGGGAAATGCAAATTAAAACCACAATGAGATACTATTTGTACGCCTATGAGAAGGGCTTTAAAAACAAATGGAAACCTGACAATATCCTATGCTGGTGAGGATGCAGAGCAACTGGAATCTCGTTGCTGATAGGAATGCAAAATCTTAGAGTGCCTTTGGAAAACAGTTTGGTTATTTCTTATGAAATTAAACATACTGTTTCCATACAACCTAGTAATTCCACTCCTAAGTTTTCTTTCAAGAGAGATCAAAACATACGTCTCCACAAAAGCCTGAACATGAATGCCTATAGTGGCTTTATTCAGAATTGCTAAAAAAGGGAACAGCCTGAATGGCCTTCAGCCGGTGAATGGAAGGGTAAACTGGTACGTCTGTACCACCTGGTGCCACCCAGGGAAACACAGGAGTGAACTGCTGATACATGCAGCAGTGTAGATTGATCTCAAATACATTTTTTAAAATTTTATTTTATTTTTTAATTTTTTTGGTGAGGAAGATCAGCCCTGAGCTAACATCCAATGCCAGTTCTCCTCTTTTTTTGCTGAGGAAGATTGGCCCTGAGCTAACATCTGTGCCCATCTTCCTCTATTTTATATGGGATGCTGCCACAGCATGGCTTGATCAGCAGTACGTCAGTGCGCACCTGGGATCTGAACCTGTGAACCCCGGGCTGCCAAAGTGGAGCACGCGCACTTAACCACTGCACTACTGGGCCAGCCCCTCAAATACATTTTGCTAGGTGATTGGAGTTTCAAAAGGCTTCATGTGCTGTATGATTCCATTTAAATAACATGGAAAAGGAAAAACTGTAGGGACAGAAAACAGAATATGTTCTGTATCTGGATGTGGTGGTGGCTACATTTATATGCATTTATAAAAATTCACAGAGCGGTATACTTGAAAGGGGTGAATTTTACTGTATGTGAGTTATACCTCAATAAATCTGGCTTAGAAAATTGAAATACTCTCTGACTAATGGAGTATCTATGAAAATAGTTTTTCTAGTATGTGATTTAGAATTATTTTCTTTATTTTTCTTTCTGCTTTGCAATAAATCACTTTAGACTCAGCCATTTCAATAAATAACAGAAGTTATTAGTTAGGCTTGTGGCATTAGGAAGATTCTGTGTGACCAGTACTACTACTTCTCTGAGGATAGGAAGCCCAAATCATTGCATCTGATGTTTTATTTTGAAAAAGACCCATGTCTATGTGTGATATTTTTAAAAGATAAAGTAATTCATCCACAATGTATTTTTTGAGCAGCTCTTGCGGACAAAATACTTTTCCTGGTGATGTGGGGATAGAAATAGGAATCACACACATGGCATGCTTTCACAGGGACCTTGCAGTCCTGTGGCTGGAACATGAAAGAGATACAGGCTTTCTGGAGAAGGCAGCCTTGAGCTTCCATGGGTAGGAAGAGGTCATCCACAAAAATGGCTCTTTGGAAGACGGGGCAGATAGTATGAGCAAAGGTTCAGTGGTGGGAAACTGGATGGTGTGTACAGGGAGCAGCAGGGAGTTCTGTTTGGTGGAGCACAAAACGTATTAGCAGAGAAGTGGTGGTTCCCCCAAGCTGTTAGGGGCTCTTGAGTGGCTGTAGTGCTTGGCATTGTGTGATGTGGAGGCTGGCTTGTCTTGAGGTTTGGATATTGAGTTAAAGAGTATGGATTTCATTCACCAGACAATGGGAAGACCTTGAATGTCTTTGAGCAGAGGTGTGTTCTAGGAAAATTCATGTGATATGTATGTGTAGAGTGGATTAGAGCAGAAAAGGCTAGAGAGAAAACTATTTTGGTAGTCCAGAAAAGGACTTCTGTTTCTGGTAATAAAGTGAGTTGTTTTGTTTACACCATTCTGTTAATGAAAAGAACTAAAATTATTGGATAAAACTTTCAAAAATCTCCTTAAAAGCTTCAAAGAACTGAGGAAAGAATAAGTAATTATGAGGCCAAAATCTAAGGGAAGAAGAAACCCAGAGAGAGAAACAGGGTGCACTGGAGCTGTGTCTACTTTGGAGTACATTTCATCTTGTTGGACAAGGGGACTCCAGTTCAAGTCCAAGGCTTCGCTCTCCTGGGTGGAGAGTCTAAAAGGAGGCATTGACACCCTGAGCTCGGACCTCAGACAACTAAGCCCTTAAGGCAGGGGTGACCCAGAAGTAAAGTTCATCTGCCTCCACCGTCAGGCTGAGCCAGGGGTGGGGACTCTTTCTGTGAAGTTGTAGCCACAAGTCAGCTCTCTGTCAGTTTGTAGCTCGAGTTCATATGGCCTCAAAAGGGCCCTCAAACACCCTCAAATCAAGTGAAGTAGACCTGGATGGGCGTGTTCCTGGGTAGGTGACCAGAAGCAAATGCAGATTCTCTAGAAGAAGATCCTTCAGCCTGGACTTCTTAGAATCTCCACAAATGATGTTCAAGTATAATGAGCAGCATATGATAGAAAACAGTCAAGCACACAAGGAGAGAAGGCACCATGAGAGAAAACCAGTGAAAACAACAGACAATGGGCAGACCCTTAAAGACTTGAGACAGCAGGATTATCAGGCATAGATTATAAAACAATTGTACTTTCTATTTTAAAGAAATAAAGAGAAGCTTGAGAATGTCTGTTAAAACCAAGAAACTATATTTAAAAACAATATAGAGTACATTAGAGATGAAAAATATGGTTACCAAAATTGGGGGAGAAAACCTGATAATTGGGCTTAATATCGGTTTACACACAGTTGAAAAGAGAATTAGTGAGCTGGAAGATAAATCAGAAGAAGTTATCCTGAACGCAGCATGGGGTGACAACAGATGGACGTATGGAAGAGACTTTAAGAGCCATGGAAGATAGAGTGAGAGGATGTAGCACGTGGTTAATCCAGACGGAGAAATTTGGGCAGAGACAGTATTTGAAGATGAGAGAGTTTTCCAGAACTGATTAATGCACTGATCCATATATACAAAAAGCCCAACTAACCCCAATCAGGGATGATGAAAAGGAATCCACACCTACATGATGACAACGACAAAATGGTCTTAAAAGCAGCCAGAACAAAGGCGGGTTGGCTTCAGAGATCCAACAGCTTACTTCTCAATGGTGGAAATGGAGCCAGGCGCAGGTGGGATGACAGCTTTACTCTAAAGACAAACATAACTGCCAGCCCCAGGATTTTGTATCTTGTGAAAATACCTTGAAGAACAAGGGTAAAATAAAAACGTTTTCAAACAAACACTGAGGAAATTACTGATGGACCTTTACTAAGTGAGGTACTGTAGGCAGAAGGAAGGTCTGAGAAAGAAGAGCAAAGGAAGTGAGCATGTGGGCTAATTGAAGAGAACATTGACCTTGCAAACAGCGGTAGCTTGTTGTGGGATCAACCAAGATAGACATGACGTACACAGTAACAATGACATATGAGTAGGGAAAGGGCTAAAGGTGATGGAGTGTTCTAGAATCTCTGTTGTTCAGAAAAAGTGGGAAATTATTGATTAAACTTTGGTAAGTACGCGTGATGTAATTTTTTTGTGTGTGTGTGAGGAAGATCAGCCCTGAGCTAACATCCATGCCAATCCTCCTCTTTTTCCTGAGGAAGACTTGCCCTGAGCTAACATCTGTGCCCATTTTCCTCCACTTTATGTGGGACGCCGCCACAGCATGGCCTGACAAGTGATGCGTCACTGCACACCTGGGGTCTGAACCCGGGCTGCCAGCAGCGGAGTGCGTACGCTTAACTGCTGCGCCACGGGGCCAGCCCCTCATGATGTAATTTTAAGATGAGTCACCTAAAGAATAAAAATAGAGTATGACTTCCAAATTTTGGAAGGGAAAATGGGATGAGGAAAAATAATCTGAAAGAAACAAGGAAGATTAAGAGAAGCATGGAGGAGCTGGCCCCCGTGGCACAGCGGTTAAGTGCGTGCACTCCACTGCTGGTGACCCAGATTCGGATCCTGGCACGCACTGATGCGCCGCTTGTTGGGCCATGCTGTGGCAGTGTCCCACACAGAGTGGAGGAAGATGGGCATGGATGTTAGCTCAGGGCCAGTCTTCCTCAGCAAAAAGAGGAGGATTGGCGTGGATGTTAGCTCAGGGCTGATCTTCCTCACACACAAAAAAAGAGAGAAGCATGGAATAGATGGGTTGATAGAAAGCACAGAATAAGATTCTGGACTTAGATCTAAATATACAGGTAATGAGATGAAAACGATCAGAAGCAAACAGAACAGTCCAGGGAAACATAATGAGTCTGCACCAAGGGGCAGCAGGGGCAAGGGACACGTTTAAGGGCAGTTTCAGAGGTAGAATTGGTAGGATTTGTCCACCAATTTATTGTGGGACTAGGTAGCTGTGACTCTGCGGGTTGGAGTGTGGCCACTCAAGCAGCTGCTCTCACCCACAGACTAGAGTGTGGGATGCAAGAGGCAGGGAGGCTGCTCCAAGTTTTGGGCAAGGTGAAGTTGAGATGCTACAAGACCCTAAGCATATGGGAGAAGGTTGGGGGCTGTAACATCCTTACCCGACTGGCGATAATGGTGGAGAATTAGGACCTTGGCCTGTATGTTTTGGGGATAATCACAGGTATCTAGAGGATAGTCAAGAATCTCATGTTTCTTGGGACCAAAAGGTTTTTTCGTTGTTTGTTTTGGTGAGGAAGATTGGCCCTTAGCTAATATCCGTTGCCAATCCTTTCCACTTTTTGCTGAGGAAGATCAGCCCTGAGCTATTGTCTGTGCCCATCTTCCTCTATTTTGTATGTGGTATGCCTCCACAGCATGGCTTGATGAGTGGTGCACAGGTCTGTGCCTGGGATCCGGACCTGCGAACCCCGGGCCCCTGAAGTGGAGTGTGCAAACTTAACCACTACACCACTGGGCCAGCCCCCAAAAGGTCTTTTGAGTGAGGACAGAGGGACAGGGCAGCTTTTTACAATGGGAGTGAGAACACTGTCACCTGAAACTGTGTTCTTTCTTTCTGTGGGTAACCAATCCGCTCTGTAGCTCAAGGCACATGCTTTGAATTTACAGGTGAAACTTATTCTCTCAGCACTTTCAGTTTGTCAAATGACCGCGATCTAGAATGTGCTTCACTTCTTTGGGTTTAAAGTTTGGTGCTCTTCTCTCTTCATCTGATGATTGTAAAACCCTTGGCCAGTAGTCAAAGTAACCTGATAGTTTCCTCTGTTTGCCTTTTCCAGACCTCTGGAGGCTCTGCTCCTGCCCAGGTGGTCCACACTCAGCCTCGAGCAGTTGGCTCCCCAGCTACGGCCACATCTGACCTGGTGTCCCTGGCTCCAACTCAGGGTGTTCGAGCGGTGACCTCTGTGACAGCCTCGGCTGTGGTCACTACCAGCGTGACCCCAGTGCAGACCCTGACCCAGTCCTTCATGACTCAAGTGTCCCAAGGTGAAGGCAGGTTTGGATTTCTGTGTGACCCATCCCACTGTTAAAGCTGGTTGGGACTTGAGCTCCCGTTTGTTGTGGGAAGAGAGGAGGGCCGTGTGAGTGTGGTCTAGTGAAACAACTTCTTCCAGCCACAGGGGTTCAGCTTCCTGGGAAAACTATCACGCCTGCACATTTCCAGCTTCTCAGGCAGCAGCAGCAGCAACAGCAACAACAGCAGCAGCAGCAGCAGCAGCAGCAGCAGCAGCAGCAGCAAACCTCTCAGGTGCAGGTTCCGCAGATTCAGGGCCAGGCCCAGTCGCCTGCACAAATCAAAGCTGTGGGCAAGTTGACACCGGTAAGCATCTTCCAGAAAACTGTAAGCTTATACTATCTGTGGGACAATGCCTTGTTGCATCATGTAATTCAAAGTGTATTTTGCACAAATATACCGTTGTCTTTATGTGGGAAGTGTGTTTGTGTTGTCTTCAAAAACAACTTTTTGTACAGTAGTACTGTCAACGCTTGTTTGCAGTGCTCTGGGGGCCTCAATTCCCATTTCCAGACGTATCTTCCCACTTGTTTTCCTGTGCTCCATGCAGCAGTCCAGCTTCAGAGAGAACCAGGAGGCCACTTGGTGTCATTCCCAACCAGAGAAAATGCTTCTGAAAAGCATTCCTCAGCAGCTTTGGAGACCGGGTGTGAAGACTTGGTCTCTTCAGGAATAGTTCATTTGCAGTGTTGTTTTTCAAAGTCGGTCATTTGAGTACTGATGGTTCTGGTTTTTGGCAATCTGTGCACTACTTGTACTGTTATGTATGTAATGCATTCATTTTAAAAGGAAATACCATATTCCTGCCATAAATGGAAAAGTATTCATTCTTGGCATAGAAAATAACCAGAAAAACATAGTAATATAAACAAGACAGTATCTTAGAATTGCAGCTAGCTGTCAGGCCTCCCACAATAAGTACCTGACCTTGGCCCTGCCCCTTCTTGGTTACAGAGGGGACAAGAGGGCGTGTTGGAGGATGTACTGGCACCGAGCCGAGGCTTCATCCTTGAAGCACCGAACTCATGCCAGAGAAACAAAATGCAACCAAATAAAGCATTCAGTTCCTCAATCGCACCAGCCACATTTCAAGGGCTCAGTGGCCGTAGTGGAGGTGGCTACCATACTGGACAGCCCAGATTTAGAACATATCCATTACTGCAGAAAGGTCTGTTGGACAGCATGAAATTAGAGAACAGTGCTAAATTAGAGAGTTCCTGAGCCCCGCAGAGGTGAGTTGTCATAGCTGGTCGCCCCACCAGGGTTGCCTTCCTTTCTCACCTTCCTGCTCTTCCCTCTCTAAGATTCAGGGACTTCAAAGGCCCCTGCACACCCCCTTTGAGCTGCCCAGAGGCCCACCTACCCACTCATGGCCTGGTTCCTTTATTCTCCACCCTTCCCTCCCCTAAATCAATTTCAAAGTCATTTTTATTTTAGCATGTTGAAAGAGATCATCTGATGGTCATGAACTACTCAGTATAAATTTTCTAAAAAAAAATACATTTAGGGGCCGACCCGGTGGCGCAAGCGGTTAAGTGCGCGCGCTCCGCTGCGGCGGCCTGGGGTTCACCGGTTCAGATCCCGGGTGCGCAATGACGCACTGCTTGGCAAGCCATGCTGTGGCGGCGTCCCATATAAAGTGAAGGAAGATGGGCATGGATGTTAGCCCAGGGCCAGTCTTCCTCAGCAAAAAAAGAGGAGGACTGGCAGATGTTAGCACAGGGCTGATCTCCTCACAAAAAAGAAAAAAAAAATACATTTATTTCTTAAACTATTTTTAGAACTATCTTGATTTCTTTTAAAGACTTGAGATTTATTTATGAATTAAATCTTCACTTGGAGACGGAGTAAAAGTTGAGAGTTGATGCACTTATAATAAATTTTAATTTCAATTATATCTTCAATTAAATCTTGTAATAAATTTTAAAATTTCAAGAGGGACCAAGATTTTAAGACTTTTGAAAATTTTGATGGGGGCTGGCCCCGTGGCATAATGGTTAAGTTTAGGCACTCTGCTTTGGTGGCCCAGAGTTTGCAGGTTTGGATCCCGGGCACGGACCTACACGCTGCTCGTCAAGCCATGCTGTGGCAGGCATCCCACGTATAAAGTGGAGGAAGATGGGCACGGATGTTAGCCCAGGGCCAATCTTCCTCAGCAAAAAGAGGAGGATTGGCACAGCTAACAGTCCTGTTAGCTCAGGACTAATTTTCCTCACCAAAAAAAAGTTTTGATGGTACTGCATGCAGATTTCTTTTTTTTTTGGGAGGGGGAGATTCACCCTAAGCTAACATCTGTTGCTAATCTTCCTCCTTTTTTTTTTTTTTCTTTTATTCCTCCCAAAGCCCCAGTACACAGTTGTGTATAGTCGTAAGCTCTTCTGGTTCTTCTGTGTGAGCCACCACACAGCATGGCTACTGACAGCTGGGTGGTGTGGTTCTGTGCCCGGGAACTGAACCCGAGCCGCTGGAGCGGAACACACAGAACTTGGACCACTAGGCCATTAGGGCTGGCTCTGTACTGCAGATTTAAATTGACTTGTTGGTAAGCAGTAAGAACCTAGAAATTTTGCTATGAATTTACTAATCTGTCAGTATCATTGTTTGTAGTCTTCATCAATAATATGCTAATTTTTAACAAAAGAACATTTTTAAAATGTTGGGCAGGCCCTGGAGGATGGTTTGCATACTGCACATTAGCACCTGTTTCCTTCAGTATTCAATGGAGAATATAATGGTAACTTAAAACCAAGATGCATAAAAAGTGGAATACAGTTAATGTTGATGAGAAGATGCTTTCTCTGGGTTTTAGGAGCACCTGATCAAAATGCAGAAGCAGAAACTGCAGCTGCCCCAGCAGGCCCCCACACCACAGGCCCCACCGGGGCCCCCGCAGCCGACGGCACAGGTGCAGGTGCAGCCCCAGCCACCCGCACAGCAGCAGAGCCCCCAGCTCACCACGGTCACGGCCCCGCGGCCCGGAGCCCTGCTCACGGGCACCACCGTGGCCAACCTCCAGGTGGCCCGGCTTGTAAGTTCCGGTTGACAACATTTGTTTTTCCAAAGCAAATCTTTTCACGTTCTAATTGAACTGTTACTGCTTGCTCAGAACCATGTTAGGTATTGTGGCAGGCTTACAAGTAAAGTAGAAGACATGATCTTTCCCCCAAGAAGTTAAGTTTTCCTTGGAGAGGATGAAATACAACACATGGGAAACGTTATTTAAATAATCACATTTCCCAGAACTGAACGGTTACAAAGCTTAACCCTTCAGTTAGTAGTTAGGGGAAGTGGGGAGCGAGCTAGACCATGGAAGGAGGGCAGGATTTATGTTGGGAATGACAGGAGGGTGAGACATGGAACGCCGAAGATGTCCAGTGCTGCTAGGGTGGAGATTCAGGGATGAGGTTCATGTGGTTGGAGTAGGGGGTGTGGTGAAGGAGCCACAGGAACCCAAAAACCAGGCTCTGGTATTACAGTGCTTTGTAGGCATGGAGAGACTTCGGAGGTTTCTGAAGAAGGGAATAATAGGATGAAAACAGTGTCTGGGAAGATCAGTTACATTCAACAAGCGTTGATCAAATGTCCTGTGGGCCAGACACTGTCACATCAGGCAAGCCAGCGCCCAGCTCAGGGAGCCCCCACTCTGGCCCTGATGACGGCTAATTTCAGGGGTCCTGCTCCTGGCCAGGCACTGCCCTAGGCTCTATGCCTGTCACCTGATTGGTGCTCGTGGACCGTCACCGAGGCAGGAGTGGGGGTTTTAATGTTAATTGCATTTTGCAGGTGCAGAAACTGAGGCACACAGCTTAAGTAACCTGCCCAAATCCTACAGCTAGTCATCTATGACTCACGCCAGGATTGGGGGGGCCAGGGTCCTCAGGATTTGCTTTGCTTGCCCTTCACCCTCACTTTGCAAGAGAGGGGATAGAATTGAGTAAAAACAGGGGAAGCAAGTTTGGTTTCACCTGTGTTCACAAAAAATGCAAATTCAAATGAGAAGGGTGGTAATCCCGTGTGATGGTCAGGGCGTGGGGAAGGCGTATTCTGCATGAGGGTTTTGTCTGACAGGAACCAGCTGCCCCAAGAGGGGATTCTAGTAACTGAGCTAAAAAATGTGCACACCAGTTTACCCAACAATCCTGTTTCTGCTATACCCTGAAGAAGTAACAGAACAAGTACAAAGTGATGAATGTGCAAACTTGTTTGTTTCAGGAACGTTAGAGGAAACGTAAATCTCCACGACTAAGAAGTTTACGAAGTAGGTTGTAGAGCATCCACACAGTGGGGTAGGAAGCAGCTTTGAAAAGTGATTGTTGTGAAAGGAAGAGAAACAGATTACACAGTAGCTGTAATTCATCTCATTTTACATACGTTTGCAGGGAGCCACACAGATCAGAACGAGGTCTGTGGGCTGAAGGCCCGTTTTCACATTCATATGTGGGTGCTTTCAGGGTTATGGGTGGTTTTTAGTTTGTCATATTTTCACCGGTAGTCTGAATTATTGAACATACAAAAATAGATCTATTTCCATTTTCCTTTTTAAAAAGCAACTGAAGAACAAAGTGCTTGGCAGTGGTGTGATGACTAAGTAGCAGGAGGTGGCGTCTGCAGGAGAAAGTGAGGTTGGCAGTCATCTCGGGGAGAGGGGCAGGGGGCTGAGTTTAGTCGTGGCCGAAGGAAGAGGACACCTGGCATGACTGGGTTACCCTGAGGTACAGGACGGAGGGAGAAGCAGAGATGAGCACTGGGTGTGGGATCAGCATCTGAACGTCAGCGTGACGGATTAGCTGTAGGTCCTGCTAAACCCGGTTCCCTGCGTTTGGTGATGGTGGGTTAAGAAGCGTGGGTCACCTCCAGTGAGTGGTTTTCCTTTAGTTCACTGCTACCTTCCACCTTTGTCAATCGTTGTAAATTTCTCACCACTTGAACTCGTGTGTGTGGGGGCGGGGCATGTTTGCAAAGACACACAGTGTGCTGAATTTCTCTGTACTTCCCCATTGTTTCCACTGTTTAGACCCGGGTTCCCACTTTGCAGCTGTAGGCACAAGGGCAGACACAGGCTCAGGCGCCCCAGCCAGCTCAGGTGGCCTTGGTGAAGCCTCCAGTGGTGTCTGTGCCCACAGCCATGGTCTCCTCGCTGAGCATCATGACCCCACCCACGGACGTTGCCGGGATCAGTGTGGCCATTGGGCAGCCACAGAAAGCCACAGGTGCCTGTTGTGTGCCACCCTCACCCCCCACTGCTGCTCTACTTAGAGCCTTGAGCAGGGCTAGGGAGTCTTTTTCTAGCAGAAGTGGCTGCCAGCCCTGCTGGCTCCTTTGCTGGACACCCATCTCCGGTGTGTCGCGGTGTATTTTAGCAGAAGTGTCTCTCAGAGCTTCCCAAATACAAGTTTTGGCCCTTGATTTAACCATTAACATTCTGAAGTTCCCATCCTTTTATCTGAATGTCATTGTGAACCCAGAACATTTTAAATGTACGTAAGGGATGGCTGTAGTCGTCTCCACATAGTTTCAGTGTATAGTTTTCTGTACAGGAGTCAGTCACTCTGAGCTTAATGTGAGCCCTGAGACCCTCTTCCCTACTTAGTGCTTGTGACTAAATGGCTTGATTGGTGTTTGCAGGACAGACTGTCGTGGCCCAGCCCGTGCATGTCCAGCAGCTGCTGAAGCTCAAACAGCAAGCTGTGCAGCAGCAGAAAGCCATCCAGCCGCAGGCCGCCCCAGGCCCAGCGGCCGTTCAGCAGAAGGTACTGGATTTCTGCAGAATTCTCGTGTTGTCCCATCTTTATGCTTTATGGCAGGAGTCGGGTCCTCCTGCCAGGCGTGGGTAGACAGAGGACAAGAGGGTCCTGAATGGGCCCTGCCTCGCTGCCTGGCACCCACGCACAGGGGACCCCATGGTCATGCGCTTGGGCTGTGCAGAGGGTGGCCTTGGGGTTGGAGCTGCTCCGAGGCCCTGGAGGGGAGGGGGTGGTTCCTTGGTGGGGAGCCCGATGCACCAAGGGCCTGTGGGGGACTGTGAAGGATGCAGGCTGTGAGGTTGCATGGCTGGGAAAGCAGCCAGAAGGATTCAAGGAAGCAGGGGTGCCTCATGGTGTATGATCCGCCTGGGCTCCTGGTGTATGGAAAGAATGGAGCCAGGCCAGGGCCACCGCCAAGCTTGTAATCAGGCGAGGAATCAGGCAGGGACGTGTCCTTGCACGTGTGTGCTCAGAGAGTGGAGGGAGGGGAGGGCAAGGGGAGAGGGGCTTGATGTGAAGGAGTACCGTCAGCATCTCGCTGACTTGGGGAAGTTGGGGAGGCGGCTCTGAGCTGATTCAGGTCCCAAAGCCGAGTGCTCAGTAAGCCCATGTTGGGGCGTGTGCTGACGGACAGGAGCAGTGTGTGAGGCGTCCCATCTTCTGGGGCTTCCTCTTTGCCCACGTACTGGCAGCATAGAGCCCAATGTACAGGTGGTGACGTTTGGGGCTTGCCCTGCGGGTTGCATCTGTGCTGTTTTCTGAACCAGAGCTAGAATACGTGATCTGATGGTGGGGCAGCCGTGGCTGCGGTGTGAACCGGCATCACTGCTCTCTCCCTGTGTGCTGAGAGCTCTGTGGGTACCTGATGCCAATTCTTAGGGCAGAGCTCGTTTTCCTTTGAGGAAACTGAGGCTCAAGGAAATGAAGAGACTCGCCTGGAGTCACAGAGCTGACGGTTGGGCCCCAGGGTCCCGTGCTCGCCAGGCAGTGGACAGACAGCTCTTCCTTGAGTGTCGCTGCCCCTCTTGCAGGAAGGAGCCCAGCTAGGGGTCTGGTGGGGCTGAGATAGTGCCGATCCTGACGCCGTTGTGCTTTGTGGGGACAGCAGAACAGAAAACTGGAAGGAGAGCTGTCTTTGGCAGCTTTGGGTGGGATGATGGGCGCCAAGAGGGCAGGACGCTGGGAAGGGGCAGCACTGATGAGGGAGATGGTCAGGGCACACAAGGACGCAGGTGTTTGGGACATCGATGGAGGAGTGTAGATCTGGCCTTCAGGAAAGAGCTCTCCTGGCTGCACCAGCCCATCACGCTGGTCATGTCCCTGTCTTACCAAGTGGAGCGGGGCCTGGAGGAAGGGTGTGTCTCCTGACTGAAGACAGTCCTCGCACCTACCTCTGGGGATTGCCTTCTCCCTGGGGTGGACAGTTTCGGGAAGGAAACACCACTCAGAGTCACCCCCCAGGCCTTTCCACTAGTCCTCTGGGCTCGGCTGGACAGGACCAGGGCATGGGCAAGGGGGGACACTGGCTACAGAAGAATGAAGACACCGGCGGGGGGCCGGGGTAATTGGCAGAGGCTTAGTTTACAACTGAAAGATAGAAATAGAAGTGCTTTAGCTCAAGTGCTGGTCTGCTTAGTATAATTTGAAAGAAAACTTCTGAGATACAAAAAAATATTTTTACGTAGCCATGGCTTTGTAAACCAAATATATAGACCACATATATGCCCAGCCTTCTGAATGGTGTTTAAATTCCCCTGACAGAGAAAACTAGAAATTAGATTAAATATGCAAAGATTGTGCATGCAGGTTTGCTACCCCTTGTGCTAAATATTTTTGGGTATCTTCCAAATTCTTAAAATTATATTTGAGAAATTGTACGAGTATGTTTTCTCTATTGTGGTCAAGTTCACTCACTCACACGATGAGCAGGCATTGCACCAGGTACTATGGAGGATGTAAAGATGAACCCCAGACTGAGCTATGAGGGGACTTCCCGGGAGAGGAGGCAGGTGATATGTGGGCCAGGCTCTTTGGAAGGGGCAGCTGCAGGAACAGGGCAGAGGGCAGGCAGTGCCAGGAGCATGGGAGAGTCACACTGCGGGGATGTCTGGGGGCAGTAGGAGCCGACAGAGGAGGCCCTGAGGGCTCCGAGAAGGGGCTGCAGAGCCGCGCCTGGCTCTAACCCGGGAGGTCTCTCTCTCCTCAGATCACTGCACAGCAGATTGCTGCTCAGGGCCAACCACAGAAGGTCACCTATGCCACCCAGCCAGCCCTTAAAACCCAGTTTCTTACCAGTCCCAGAAACTGGCAGGGACTCAGCAGATTCAGACCCAGAGGCAGGTGAGCATGAGCGAGTGCTAGGGTTGGATTGCAAAACATGGGCGCACAGGAGAGGGAGTAATTGAACGCACAGGGTTCAGAGAATAAAAACGGGTGGGTGCCCACGGAGCCAGAGCCCTGTTAAGAGAGCATCATGGGCCCTCTGCTGCCTCTCAAGGTGGCTGGTCCCTCATGTTCCTTGCTGGTACTGCCACCTGTGTGATCGCCTCTGAGTGGCTTGGGGCCCCGGCTGAGGTCATGCTGTGGTGGTGTCCTTTATGTTTGTGAGACTCCTCCAGGAGTCATTCTCCTGCCTCCCGAATTGACACACTCTGTCACTTTGCTGCTGGTGGCTGCATGGGCTGCTGCTGGCTTTGCTTCTGGCTGTGGCTGCCCAGAGAAGTGTTTTTTTTTTTCTTTAAAGGTGTGTGCTTTTTTTTTTCTTTGTAAGGAAGATCAGCCCTGAGCTAACATCCATGCCAATCCTCCTCCTTTTTTTTGCCCTTTTTCTTCCCAAATCCCCGGTAGATAGTTGTATGTTATAGTTGCACATCGTGCTAGTTGCTGTATGTGCGACGCCACCCCAGCATGGCCCGACAAGCGGTGGGTCGGTGCGCGCCCGGGATCCGAACCTGGGCCACCAGCAGTGTAGCGCGCGCACTTAACCACTAAGCCACAGGGCCGGCCCTTCCTTTTTTTTTTTTTAACTAAAGTCCAGAATTTCTATAAAACAAGTACATTAATGAAACATTTCCAAAGAAATACTGAACAATATATACTCTAGTTGGCTGAGGGTTCCAGCTCAAGAGTTTGTTTATACCTAATTTTTGTGCATTAAAACTCAGCATGGATCTTAGATGAGCTAGAATACACTGTATTTTGAAATCTGGTTGAGGTGTGTAAGTGCTGAGAGTGGCTGCCTGGGACAGGTGTGCAGGGCTGCGGTGTGCACACATCATTGAGCTGCCACAGCAGCCCCAGCAGCACTCGTACTCTCCTTGGCCTCGGCCGCTGGCGACTTACACGGATCTGTTGACCATCGGGTCTCTTTTCTGAAGTGCCTGTTCAAGTGTCTCCCAACGTTGGTTAACCTTCTGGATATTAGCCTTGAGTTCTGTGTGTCACACTGTCTTCTCACTTTATGGTGTCTTTGGACAAACAGAAGTTCTTAGTTTTAATGTATTGGAATTTATCTTTAAGTCTTTAAGTTTCTGAATAGTGCTTTTTGTGTCTTGCTTAAGAAATCCTTCTCAAAGGTCATGATGTTATTTTCCTGTATTGTCTCCTAAAAACTTCATAATTTTTTGTTCACATTTAGGTCTTTAACCTTCCTGGAATTGGTTTTTCCAGATGATATAAAAATAGGAGTTCAGTTTAATTTTTCCATGTGAATACCCTGTTATCTTCAGCACCACTTATTAGGGAGTGTGTTCTTTCCCTCTCATCCACAGTGAGACCTCTGTGTGTCATGCATAGTTCTGTGTGGGGCTTTTCTTCAGTGCGTGGTCTCTGTGCCCACACTGCTCTATCTTCATCTCTTTGGCTGCATAATGAGACTTGGCATTTGGAAGGCAGATCCTTTCACTGCTCCTAGCTGGAACATCCTGCTGTGGCTCTTTGCGCTTCTCTATTAATTTTGAGTCAGCTTATTCAGTTTACACACCACAATCAAAACTGTCAGCGTTTTCGTTAGAATTGCATTGACTCTGTAGATCTGATTGAGGGAGAGGTGACGTCTCCGCCGTCTTGACTTGAGAATCACCAATGTATGATGCATCTTTGTTAACTCTTCTTTAATGCCTTTTAATTAAGTTTTCTGATTTTTTTTCCATAAAAATCTTAGCACTGTGTTGTATTTGTTAAATAATTAGTATTTTTTGATGCTTCTGTAATCTTATGTTTCTAAGCCTCCATTTTCTGTCTGTGTTTCATGCACTTTGAACCTTGACTTTTGAACCTGGCAGCCTTGACCAATTCTTGCTCCTAGGACAGCCCATCTACAGGTTCTTCTGCATTTCCTTTGTCTCGGTTGCATCACTGCAAGCCATGGCGGCCATGTCTTCTTCCTCCTTTGTTGCCCTCCTTCTTGCCTTGTTGTGCTGGCAAGGCCCACGGGGCAGTGTGACCGAGGTGTGCAGACAAAAGCTCAACCACGTCACTGTTCATGGTTCTGCAGGGTTTGATTTTCAAATCACCCTTCGTTAGTGTAAGAAAGTGCCCTTCTTTGTCTAGTTTGCTAGGAGTGTGTGTTCCTTTTTGTTGTGTCTGCATGCCCTCCCTGGTGATCTCCCCCAGTCTTGAGGCTTTGAGTCCGTCCCAGTGCTGATGACTCCACATTCATGTCTACAGCTGATCACCCTCCCCATTCTGGGTTCTTAATCCTAGCTGCCTTTGAACAGTTCCTTGGAGATGTGTGACCACACAGGTACTTCAGACCTTACCTTTGCACACCTGAACTGCAGTCCCCCGAGGTGTGTGATCTCACAGGTCCCTCTGACCTCACCTGTGCACACCTGAGCTCCTCCTTCTCCAGCTCAGGAACAGCAGTTCTGTCTTCCCTGACCTTCAGCCTTACCTGGGCCAAACCCACGGTCATTTCTCATTTCTCTGTCTCATACTCCAGATCCAGTCCATCAGAGATTCTGCAGTGAAATTTGCTGAAACTTGCTTTATGACGGTGTTGGGTACAGTCGTTGGGTCATTTTGTTATTGCTAGGTCAAGTTTATTATTTGTGTGGTTTCAGTCTTCTCTTTCCTCACCAATTTGCTTGTTCTATCAATTACTGGGAGAGGTATGTTAAAATCTCCCATTCTGGTTATGGATTTATCTGTTCATCCTTATATTTTTCTGTTTATTTTGTGAGGCAGGTTAGCCCTGAGCTAACATCTGTTGCCAATCCTCCTCTTTTTTTTGCTGACCAAGATTGACCCTGGGCTAACATCCATGCCCATCTTCCTCTACTTTATATGGGACGCCGCCCGCCACAGCATGGTTTGACAAGTGGTGTGTCGGTGCACGCCTGGGATCTGAACCTGGGAACCCCGGGCCGCTGAAGCGGAGTGCGTGAACTTAACCACTATGCCACCAAGGCTGGCCCCTATTTTTTTCTATTTTTGCTTTTTATATTTGATACTTTATTATTAGCTACATATAAATGTAAAAGTTTATTATCTTAAAGTGTCCCTCATTATCTTTGGTACTATTTTTTGGTCTTGAAGCCTGTTTTGCCTCGTACTGAGAACTCCTCCGTCTTGTGTTAGAATCTCTGGTGTATCTTCCCCCCTTTACCTTCCACATTCTCTGTCTGCTTTGCACTTACTTCCCGGAAATAGTTGGGCCGATGCTGCTGCTGCTGCTGTTACTGTCGTTATCTGGTGTCTGGGTTTCGGTCATTTACCTGAACCGTGTTCACTCGCCTTTACGATGAGGACTGATGTGGGTGGGGTTTGGTTCCATTTCATTTGGGTTTGTCCTGGTTGTTCCATTTTCTCTTTCCATCTTTTCTTGCCTGGTTTTATATTGTTTATTTATTTTTTGTCATCTGTTTTTTATTCTCTACTAGTTTGAAAATATATTATATACATTATAGATTCTCTTTTTGTTCTTTATGTGGTTACCCTAAAATCTCCACAGACACATTCACCTTTTCAAAGCACAGGGCAGAGCCCTGTCTCTGCTCTGCTCTTGAGCACTGGTCTGTCCCCCGTAGCCCCACTGGCCTCTCAACTTGAAAGCTGCTGTCATCATGCATTTCCACTCTGTCCTTTTTTATTTTGACTTTTCATGTAAAATTACTATTCTTCTGCTTGAAGTGCATCCTTTGGCATTTTGTGTAGTGTTTGAACATGCCTGTATTTCACTCTTGTTCCTGAAGGATATTGTTGCTTGGTATGGAATTCTAGATTGACATTTATTTTCTCAGTACATTAACAGTATTCCCTGGTTCCTGGTTTTTTTGTTATTAATGAAAAGTCAGGTGTCTGTCTAGCATGTCGCTGCTTTGACGGTCTTCTATCTTTTTTCCCTCCGTTTTCTTTTGAGATCTTTTCTCTGTCTTTGGTGTTTTATAATCACTATGATGCTCTAGCTTTGGATTTGTTGATCTTCTGGAATCGACATTGATCTCGCTCGTCAGTTTAGGAAATGAGCAGCTGATGTTTCTTTAGACGTCGCCTCTGCCCCTTTCCTGCCTTCCAGGTACCTCCAGTCCTTTGTATGTCTGTGCTGCACTCTGAGTACAGTCCTCTGACCTTTCTCTACCTTGCTCGTTTTCCCTTGGTTAGGTCTAATCTGGTGTTCACCTTGTCCATGGAATTTTCATTTTGGCTGTTATATATTTTTTATTCTTACAAGTTATGTTTGTTTTTATCTGAAATCTGCTTGGTCTTTGTTTGTAGTTTCTAGGTCCTACACGTTTTCAGGCTGCATGGGTGAACACAGTTTTGTGTGTGTCTGAGAATTCCTCCACTTGAAGTCATGGTGCATCTGATTTTACTTGTTTCTGCTATTCTGGCTTCAGGAGCTGTGTTTCTTTGTCTTGATAGTAATTGTTTTCTTGTGAGCCCATTTTTGTTTGTGGGAATGCTTTGAGGTCTGGGTTGAAGGTGGATTCTTGCTTCTGCTGGGCTTTTGTGGGTACCCTCAGAACCACATCAGCTTGTGGCCTGAGGGTTCACTGTCTCTCAGGTAATGTCAGTTTGGTCTCTAAACCTGTGTCTCCCCCTCCCCCAGTAGCGAGGCCTAAGGCTGGTGATTTCCTCACAACCCCTTTGGGTGACATGATTGCAGCTGTGGGGGGCGGCATATGGTCCTCCTGTTAGCTCCTCGCTGAGAGTGGATTTGGATTTGGTCTCTTGTCTGCCACACCCTGGGAGACACGCAGATCTAGCCAGTGTGAGGCCTCCCCGTCTACCATGTGCTCTCGAGGTGAAAGCTGTGTGGTGCCTCTGCTCATTGCTCGAGGTTCCTGCCTTTGCTTAGGTTTTGGAGCTAGGAGTTCCTTACTTTCTTTTGTTTCTGTTTGTTTTTTTTTTTTTTTTTTGGTAAGGAAGATTAGCCCTGAGCTAACATCTATTGCCAGTCTTCCTCTTTTTGCTTGAGGAAGATTAGCCCTGAGCTAACATCTATGCCATTCTTCCTCTATTTCATATGTGGGTCACTGCCACAGCGTGGCTGACGATGGTATAGGTCTGTGCCTGGGATCCAAACCTGGGAACCCGGGCCGCCAAAGCGGAATGTGCCAAACTTAACCACTACACCACGGGGCTGACCCCAAGGAGTTCCTTATTTTCTGCAAGTTCATCAATGCATTTATGGTGTCATCTTAGTTTTTTCCATGTTGTCTCGGTATTTTCAGTAGTGTGCCAATCTAAGTCCTGCCCCACTGTGCTCAAGACTTGGTGGCTGGCTGAGTCTTTGTTTCCCATCAGTGCTGCAGAGGGCTTGATCAAGGGCTCTTTTTATCTTAGGGAATCCTGTTTACAGTTTTTTAAAGTTACAATAAACTAGTAAATGCCTTCCAACTAATTTTAGTTTTCGTAATGAGGACTTGGAGCTCTGTCATTTACAAAACATCATATAATTTCACATTTTCTCCAGAATTATCTTGGGCAAGACTTATTTTCATCCCTGTTCTATAAGTTAGAGGCCCAAGTAAGGGGCATCACGACCTCCAGCAGCTGCCCACTGGGAAGCCCATCTGCTTCTTTGAGCCAGCATCCCAACAACCCTGAGTAGACACACGTGGCCCGAACTGTTTTATTACATTGAGACAGCAAGATATAAATGTGATGAAATAATTACAGAAAGTGACCACAGGGTGGAAATTTTTGTTTTATAACGAGGGAGATCTCAATCATGATTAAGAAAAATGTAGAAAAATGACAAAATAACCACTTTAAAATTTTCGTACATCTCTGGGCTAGGGCTGAACCTTGGTGTTGGTCTGAATCACTTCACAATGGGGGTGCCTTCCTGGAATGCCACCGAGAATTGAAGAAGGGATCTCTTGAGAACTCATGAAATGCTAAAATATTTCATTCCATCCTCGATTTAATTCTCCCATATAAACTTGGAGCAGTTTTTAGTAAAAGAAGAAATTTGACTGTCTGAAATATGAGACCAAAAATAAGCTTCAAATGACATGTGATTGCAGATAAGGAAGGCAGTCATTGTTCAGCATGAAGGTGAAATAACCGATTCTCTCAGGGTTCCAGGTGAGCACACTTTGAGAATTGCTCTTTTGTGTCGTCGGCCACTGTTTTTTTGGGTTTTTTTGGCATTAAGAACTAAGAAGGAAAGAAAGGGACACAAATCTCTTCTTGTGTGCACATTCTTTTGAATTCTACATTTGGCTTTTTTTGTTTTGTCAAAGGTTGCAAAACTCCCTCAAGTTGTCCAACAGCAAACACCCGTGGCCAATATCCAGCAGGTCGCCTCTGCTTCGCAACAGGTAGGATCTGGAGACATGCAGCTGTCTGGGAAGTTCCCACGTGGGCTTTTCAGTGAACTTCACATTTCCCAGGCTAAGAGAGCTTTTGGTTTCATCCTGAGGAAGTAGAATTTTAGTTCTTAGAGAATTACTTTTGATTTTCATAATACAGGAAAAAATTAGCTTTGGGGAAAGCTTTTGATATCCTTAGACTAGCAGGAAAAAAACTGAACAGACGTGTTGAAACTCACTGTCAACTGTACTGAAGGAGCCTATTTCTAGGATCATTCCTTTAGCATAACCTTAGGTGTGTCTTACAAGCTGAAGCCACCACACAGTTGTTTTAGGGAAAAGCAGAAAGAAAATAGAATCTGGTTGTAGTGACCTTCTGGGGACAAGTATGACTTACCTTCCTAACAGAGGAAACGTCAGGCTCTTACTATTTTATTTACTGCTACAAAATGTGGCCATATAAAAGAGTGCTTAAGGGGTTGGACTGGTGGTGTAGTGGTTAAGTTCGCACACTCTGCTTCGGCGGCCCGAGGTTCGCAGGTTCGGATTTGGGGCGCAGACCTATGTACCACTTATCAAGCCATGCTGTAGCAGGTGTCCCACATATAAAGTAAAGGAGGATGGGCACAGATGTTAGCCCAGGGCCAATCTTCTTCAGCAAAAAGAGGAGGATTGGCAACCGATGTTAGCTCAGGGCTAATCTTCCTAACGAAGAAACAAAGAGTGCTTTAAAAACATTTTATTTTGTTCAAAATCACACTGGCATGTAGATTTCAAGAAACCAAATAGCATTAAAAGCTGAACACCACCACCACCACCCCCCCCATCCCTGGTCGTCAACCCTGGCCTTTTTCCCAGAGTCATCCAGTTTTATCCTAAAATCAAAACTAGTTTAGTTTTCTACTTTTGTTTTATTAGAAACCAGAGGTCATATTTTGATATGTCAGGTAGTTTTCACATTTCACAAAAGCATTCCTGCTAATTAAGTTTCTAAAACCCCCCTCCCGACCCTGAAGAATGTTTAATTTGTCATATAACTTGATATGCATTTTCTAGGCCATGCGTATTTTCTAACTGTCTTCGGTTCAGGCTTCCCCACAGACTGTGACCCTCACCCAAGCGACAGCAGCTGGGCAGCAGGTCCAGATGATCCCGGCAGTGACTGCGACAGCGCAGGTGGTCCAGCAGAAACTCATGCAGCAGCAAGTTGTAACGACAGCAGCGGCCCAGCTGCAGACCCCTGGTGTTCCCGACCAGCACAGGTGCCAGCCAGCTCTGATAGCCCAAACCAGCAGCCCAAATTACAAATGAGAGTCCCTGCCGTCAGGTTAAAGACACCCACCAAACCTCCGTGCCCCTAGTCAGGAAAGCAGGACGGCCTCAGGGTGGGCCACCCTTGCATTCCACCATCTAGCCAAAATCGAGTAGATTTTATTTATTGAACCTTGGGACAATGTCATGTGAAATGTAGTACCTGGAAAGCTCTAACTGAAACAAAGTCGTGTAATTTTATTACAATGTGTCCTACCCTGCGGGAGCAGCAATCCTCATTGAACATCCCTTTTCTGTATTATGTGACTAATTGAAAAAGTAACAGTGGCAATTTTTTGTAAATCATTTTACCTTTTGGTTTATCCTCCAGGGCAGTAGTGCTGGGTCTTAAGCCATTTAGAATTTCCCTGTTAAGTGTCCAGTGTTTTGCACGTCACAGTAGCCATTTGGAATGTGCAGTGAGTCATAAAACAAACTTTATGAAGCCTAAACGTGGTCTTTGACAGCACCTGCCTTTGCTTGGCTCTTTATACCTAACTGGAAATGACCACAGTCCTTAGAGAGGAAGGAGACTGGCTAAGGTAGATCATTTCAGATCAGAGAAGGCCAGTGTGGTTTCTTCCTTCCCTCCTGAAATGTGACTTGTTTGAACTTTTAAAGGAAATATTTAGTACTGACACCCATCGAAGCACATTCTTGACATGTTCCCGGCTTGTGGTGAAGGGAAACAACCTGTGATTGAATTTTCATTCCAAAGAGCAGCCAGTGTGGCTTCTCCCAGACCCTCCCCACAGCGTGTGTGTAAACCCAGCCTTTGAGACTGCTTCCCATCCCAGCATATCCATGATATTTTCCCAGCTTTTGGATCAAGCTTATGTTTGGACTTAGTGAATGGAAGCAGCTCCAGTGAATTTTGTGAGGCTCCTGTGTCGAACTGGCTTTGGGGCCCAGAGCACTGCTCAGGTGTTACGTTGCAGTAGTCACTGCTGAGTGCGTGGTGACATGGCAACTGGAGTGCTTAGAGCGGGCGCTTGTCATGTTCAGCTTAGAGCGCTTTGCTTTCATGTTCAGCCCAGGTATGACCTGCAGAGGTGAGAAACCTCCTGATACAGTGTGGTTTATTTATGAACCTACAAGCATTACCCACAGAAATGGGCATAGTCAACTCTTCATCATAGACTTGTAACATTGGATTTCTGAGCCAGGGTCTCATACATGAGCAGATGCACTTGCTTGTGGTTCTTGGTGAAGCGGAGAACTGTCCGTGCTGTTTGGGGGAGGGGGCATAGTTGAGGGGCAAAGATGAGGCGGCGTGTTTGCTATTGTTTTTATTTTCTTACTCTAGCAAGGTAATAGAAGCAGTTGCAGTGGTTTGATTGGCTGATGATGTCTGCTTACCTGGAAGTTTCCACCCAAGCAGAAGGTGCATGTCCCATGGCACCCTCTCCACTCTGGCACTGTGCCTCTTTTACATTACTTGGTTCAGGAAATCAGGCTGAATTAGGTCTGTGTGTACTAAAAATCAGTTACACTGTACTGAGAGGTTTTTCATTTTCATTCTTAATTTTATTTAACCTGTTCCCTCCCCACTGTATCGCTTCAAATGACATGAAGTATTTTGTTTTGTAGTATTTTGTTTCCCATCAAGTTATGTGGACAATAATATGGCGATACTTAGTGAAGCCAACTGGGCAGCTGATTTTTGAGCTCTTGGTGAGAAATTTCGAAAAAAGTAAAATTTAAGTGTTGAAAAAATGGGAGAGATTTAACATTTTAGTTAATTGAACATATCAAAACAGTACTATAATCTATTTTCTTGTAACTAGTTCATTCTGGTTTGGCATATGCTGTCAGGAGAGAATACGGCATGCAGGGAGGCTCTCTGTGCATGCTTCAAGTCTGGTTGCTGAGGAAAGTTCCTGCTCTTGTTTATCCTTGAATGTGCAGAACTAACATATATAGGAATCCTCTTTTTTCAGCCTGTTTTAATTTGTACACCCTGTTCTATTTCCTCTTGTTCTTCATAGGGTGTTAGCAGTCTCTTTAGATGATGATAACATGTTGAGTGCACGTACTTTAGACTGTTCTAGACATAGCTGCCTGGATAGAAGTTCTTATTAATCTGGACACTAGAAGAGAATTTAGAAACATCTCTCAAAAGCTTCTTAAGAGAACAGAACTGGGGTTCTGAATATTTGCAGTGTGGAACTCCTGCCCTATCTTACTTTGTGAGTGATCAAGTCGCTCGTCTCCGAAGTGTGCTTTCTTCAGCAAGTCCCTAATGCACAATATGGAACAGAAAAGAATTTTACTCGTTATCACTTGACTTAGTAACATCTAGATGTCACCACTGACCTACAGTCTTTAATAGAGTAATTTAAGTAAAAATCCTCCAGGTGTAGTGTTTCTTTGGCCTTCTGTTTTAAAGGTTAAACTTTCCATGTTTAAGAGTTAAAGTGAGTGTAGAAAGTCATCTAGGCCTCAGATCATCATTGTTAGCAGAATCCTGCGTGACCTTGTGAACCCGGGGTCTTATCAAGACAGTATGTAGTGATTGAGAGAAGTCTTCAGAACATAAATTAAGATAGTAGCCAGAGCACTGTCAGACTCGAACTGGGCACCGTGGAAAGCACTTGTTCTTTAAATCAGAGACGTCAGTTCTGACTAAGGCCAGGCTGTTGTTAAAGCATCGCTTGGGAAGCAGGAGGTTGGATCCAGCACTCGTTCAGATTTGTTGCCTAATGAGGCAGAGGCTTTCTTTTTTGCAGTCTTTCTGATTTTTTTAACTGTTGTAACCAGATAGCTGTTGTGTTTTAAAATATAAAGGAAGAAGACTGAAATTGTAAATACTTTGTAAACATAATCATTTGTACTTGAATACTAGGGTTTTAAAGGGCACTGATACCCACCAAACAAAAAGTATAATAAAATAACCTTTTTATATGCTTTTTTGTTTTGTCTTTCATAGAAAACTGGTATTCAAGTTAAAATAAGATGCTAGTTGTGTTTATTTCATTTGTCTGAAGAAAAAACTAAACAAAACAAAAGGGAAACAAGCAGTGTCAGAGGCAGAGGTTTTCTTTTCACTCACTCCCCCACGCTGTAGAAGGAACTAGAAGGAATGGAGTGTGTGTGAGGTTGTCAGCAAAAATCACCATTCATCTCTGCAGAGAGTCCACCTGGCCACTGCATTCCAAAGCCACACATGGAGGGAAGACACTGCTGCTGTCCTGTCCCCCCATGACCTGCTGTGCATTGCACCCAGTCTCCCAGAGGACATGGACCCTCGTGCTCTCAGATGCTCTACTCAACACTTCCAACCAGGCAGCCTGCAGGAGCTGCTTTTCTTTATCTTCTCTTTCGCTTTTAGACTTTTTTTCCTTTTGTAAAAAAAAAAAAAAAGTTTATGATTTACAAAAAAAAATACCTAGTTTTTCTAAAAAATGCACACTTTATACAAAGTTAAGAAGTGCCCCAAGAAATCCGTGGTTAGTTTTGGTATCTTCTCTTCCACTGCAGAAATGGGGGCAGAGGGGCTACATGAGCCTGCAGCCTTGGGCTCCCATTTCACACCCTCCCCACCCAGAGTCAGGTGCTCATGCCCTTGTGTGTGTCACCTGCATATGGAGACCTGGCTGGGTGGGAGTTGTGGAGAACCTTACTTAGCATCCTTTGTCAAGTGCCTGCCGGGTGCCGGGAGGATGGGGTGCTTGAGATCCCAATGCTCCATGGCCCTGTGGGTCTGGACTCAGGTGCCCGCCTAGCCATGTGATGGGGGCTAGTGACTTCACCCCTCAGTGCCTCGGTTTCCTCATATGTAACCCCTTTCCCGAGGCGGTTGTGACATTCAGAAAGCACTCAGCCTCTGGTGCCTGCACTCACAGATTATTTCATTGTGATTATTCTCAGTGGAGAAGGCTGTTTTCAGAGCTGTCATTCCATCACAAACTCTATGATCACGTCTTTGCCAGCTGTACATGTGGCAGCAGGGCTAGAGCACGCTTACCTGGCCACCAGGCTGTCTTTCTGTGTGCATTCTAGTGGGGGCTGGGGTCACTCAGGTGAAGTGATTCTGCTGTCTGGCCACAGTGGATAGCACTTCTGAACCCATGAGTCCTTTGCCACCACCTCCAATACATAGGGCATCTAAATTCAGATTAACATAAAACACGCCCTATAGGCTTGCCCGCAGGCCACCTGACTATGCCAGCTTTAGAGGTCTCACTTAGATCTCTCAGTCAACTCTAACCTCTATCAGGTGTTCAGATCCCGTGTCAGTGCCCTCTCCACTTTCCAGACTGGGGACTGTGATTTAGGGGCCCTTGGGAGAGAAGGGAACCCTTCTGCCATAGGTTCTGGGCAGCAGTTCTTCCCTGCTCTGCCCTCAGCTGCACACCTCAAAGTAAACTAATCTTCCAAAGGTCCCACTTGACTGGATAAATTATTGGTGTATTCAACTGATGTTTATTGAGTGTGTACTATGTGGCAGTTTGTCTAGGCCCTGGAGCTATAGCTGTGAGCAAAATAGAAAAGGAGGTTCCATTCCAGCAGGCAGCTCAAGGATAAAATACTTGAGAAGAAACGGGCAAGGTCATGACAGCCATCAGGATTTCATCCTAAGTATATGGGCAAGGTTGAAGCTGGGAAGACAACTTGATTTACAATTGTGAAAGCTCTCCCTGTCTGCAGTGGAGATGTGACTAAAGGCAGCAAGAGTGAAACCAAGGACACACTAGCGCATTTCCCTGGTCAAAGGCCAGAGCAAGAACCACCCTGTGGATCCTCAGATCCCGCTTTCAGCCTGTGGAGCCTCTACCCGCCGACTCCTCCCCGCGGCCTGAGATCGGCGCTCCACCAGCACCTCACTGCACCAGCTGCCCTGCGCTTCCTTCCGTCGGGGCATGTATTTACGAATACACGACCCTCCGCGGGGAGCGCAAGTACTAGATGTGCTTGGTCAATGCAACAGGCAGTAAGTGTCTGGTCGATGGATGGGTGGGCGGGCGGACGGAAAAACGGACTTCAGCTTGGACGCAAGCACGCTTGGAGGAATGAAGGCGTACACGCGGGTGACCGCGGAAGGGAGGCGGAGGAGTGCGCAGGCGCCGCCTCTGCCCCACCCACTCCCTCTGGGTCCTCCGCTCTCACCCCGCCCCCCCACCCACCTGCTTCGATCGGCCTGCATTCCGCCTGCGGGCCCGCAGGTGCCCGTGCCTGAGCTGTGTTCCTGCCTGCTGGTGCGCCTGCGCACTGGGGCCGGCCGGTTTTGTCTGGGTCCGTGGGTCGGGCTGCCCCCTGGGCCGCCGCCGCGTGCGAAGGGCCAGAGCCGGCCCGCGTGTCCGCGCCGGGAGGGGACGGGCGTGAGGGGCGGGGCAGCCTTCCCCTCGGCCCCGCTGCCGCCCCGCCCCCCCTCACGGTGGAGTCGCCCCCCGTGACCCCTGCCTCGGTGACCCCCGCCCACGATGGAGTCGCCGCTCTCTCCCGTGACCGCGTCCCGGTGACGCCCATTTCTGTGACCCCCCGCCCCGGTGACCCCGCCCCGGGAGGCCGCTGTCCGCGGTGCTGACCCGCCGGCGCCTGTGGCGGCTGTGGCCGTGGTCGGGGTGAGCCGGCTTTGCCCCCAGAAGGGCAGGTGGTCAGGGGTCCCGGGCAGCAGCCCCGCGCGGACCCCTGCGGCGGCTGTGGGAGGAACTGCCCAGCGTGGAGGCGCCTCACGGAAAACGGCGCGAGAAATGCAAGTTCCAGTTTCTGACCTTGAATCTCAAGATACTGCG